TTAATTTAAAAAGGGTCTGAAGAAGGGTCTAGGCCCGAAACGTCAGCCTTCCTGCTCCTCTGATGCTGCTTGGCCTACTGTGTTCATCCAGCTCTACATCTTGTTATCTTAGTATGGAGTGAGCTGGACCATCTTTCCATATGCTTTACTGCATATTTTGTAATACATGAAACTCTCCACAGTTACAGATACTCTGATTGATTGGTTTTACTATGCAAATAAATGCTTTACCTGTTATAAAACAGTGAAAATAATTCAGAAATCTTTGGCCAGTTTGTTACAGTGTTAAATGCAACCTTATTCAAATTGTCTAACTTCCCAGTGATAGAGCATAGTAATCCTGTTCAAAGGTCGCAATATACTTTCAATCTTTAAAGTAGGTCCAACAATCTTTTATTTTGAGCAGAAGTATCTTTCCAGAGCTGCACCTCAACCTCAATAATTAGAAACTGCTTCATCTGTGTTTTTATACCCTTCCGATGTTGGGATTACCAGCAGGAAAGGATGACTAAATCCTTAGGGGAAAGCTGAACTCTGACTGACTAATGCAGCACACAACCAAAACTGTCTCGGTTGATGAATAAACAGTTGCAATTTTATGCAAAATCTCTTCCACTTTTTAGTCTCTTCCAATTATACAATCTTGTGTACCTATGCAGGCATGATAAATGATACCTGTGAAATGACTCAGTATCTGAGTTAATATGCACGATTACCTGCTTCAGTAGGTTATTTACATCCATCCCATTTTCGCTCTTTGGACTGGGTAAAAGAATGAATGAGGATATTAAGGACTGTCACTCCTACTAACCACAACACCACTTTATAAAAGGTAAGATTGTATCCTCATTTACCTTCTAATATATGCTCTCTTTAACTAGACTTGCTTTAAGTAAGTGAACAACACTTGTTTGAACTTATAAAGCAGACAGCGAGTCCCGGGCGGAGACCAGCAGGGGAGGCAGTCCTGGCACTTACCTTGGAGCAGCTGAGTGCCAGTATGGAGTAGACTGGGGCTTGATGCAGAGCAGGGACAAATATTGGACTGGGGTCAAACCATGCAGGGAGGCCCTTTGCTGAGCTGTTACACTGTAATGTCTATTTGAAGATTCCTTCCTTACTCCAATGTCAACTCTTTAGTGATGTCCTATTTTTAACTTATTTGTCAACTCTGTAAGTAATGCAACTACTTTTATTCCTCTGCTGTATCTAAGAATTGTACCTAGGTACTTGTACCTAAGATGTCGCCATAAGAAGGCAGACATTGTAAAAGCTTTTCACTGTACCCCCACAATGGGGCACACGTGACAATAAAAGGATATTGTATATTGTATCGCAGGATTCAGAAGCTTTGCCAAGTTTGGTTTTATCCAATTCTATATCACCAGATCACTGATGAACAGTCAGAAAAAAAGTACTTTGGACTGAAATGCTCAATAAAGTTGAAGTATAAACTCTGTAACTATGATTGCTGGCAGTGTTAGTTGGTGCAAGCATTCTTTAAAAAAAGAATGTATTCAAATGTCCTGCAATTTGGTAACTGAATCATTTATTGACTTAAAGATTTCCTAGTGAAATTTTAACAAGTTATATGAGCAAGCTTAAGGTTATAGGGCAACAAACACAGGTGCCTAGTACTTCCACGTTTGCGTTTTTAACAGAAACCTTCAGGCAGTAAAATGTCTGAATGTGAATTATAGGAATACTGTAAAACAAAATTAAACACACTTAAGCAAATATTTGAACAGGTAACCTGAAACTGAGTCAAAGAGAAAAATTTTAAGGAGTGCGTTAAAAGAGAGGTTAAAAGTTGGAGAGGTATGCTTGAGATGATAGGGAAATTCCAGAGCTTGGGCTTTGGGCAGTTGAAGGTACTACCCTAACCGTTGAACAATGAAATTAAAGGATGTGGTAGAGACCATAATTATAGAAGGTAGGGCTCACAGACTTCCACAAATTTCAGTGCAATCTAGACAGATGAGAGGGTGACAGGCATATGTGAAATGCACATAGTGACTCAGACTCTGTGCTTATATTGTACACAAAGACTTTGCATCACATATAAATTTCTTTTGTGTCAATATTGAATAGCAGTTCAGAAGACAGAGTTTGTAGGTCAATGAATTTGATTGTAAATTGAGCTTGCTGTGCTGAAATACGAACCCCTTTTCAGACCTTTATGCTGCCATCATTGATTTAACTGCTGTAGACTGTACACGTATGGAATTTGTTTGGGCTTTCAACAAGCAAGAAGACCCTGCCAGAATGTGTAAGTTATTAGCTTTTAAAGTAATTTCTATTTTTGAGACCTTTAATTAAACACTGCACGCATTTCAATCTCATGAGGCTAGATTTTACTTTCTATGTAGACTCCACAATATTACAATCTATACTGAATAAATACAAACTATTCAACATAAATATGATTCTACAAAAGTAATATTTATTGCAATATTCTTATTACAGCTATGCAATAAAAATAATCACATGAGATGACCTTTCAGCAACCTGCAAAATAAATAATTACCAAGGCAGGGAGATGTTCTAGCCAAGCTGTAACTTCCAATTTTCTCCCTCCTGAATGCTCTCTGGTTTAAATTGTAAGCTGTTCTCATTAAAAAAAACCCAAGATGGTATTTGGCTTTTATTGTGTCTGGCAATCAAAACAATGACCAGAAACATATTTATCAAACAGACCACTCCATTTCAAGGCAGTTCTACTTTTACTAATTTACATCTTCCATCTAGTCAGTGCTAAGAGGCATCAGTCACAACAATGGCTCAGAGTTTTCAGTCTCTGGAACATCGGAGATCAGATGTACATCCAGAGATGTGCATCAGGATCTGTCAAACGTCCTGATACGCTAACTCCATGGGAACTGCCCAGAAAGTTTGAACTTCTGAAGGGCAAATCCAATGGCAAATCCTCTGGCCTTGGAAGCCACTGGGAAAAAACATTCCAATTCCCAGTTACCTCAACAGTGACCCAGAAAATGTTCGTCAATGAATCTTAGTTTTGCCTCCCGCATACCGACTTCCCCTCTCAACCCTGAACCCATCCCCCATCTAAATCCCTAATTATTGAACCCCTCCCTGACCTGACTATTCCCCATCATCCAAAAATGCCCAATGAACTTCCAACAAACTCTTTGATATGGCCTGACTAGATCGCATCAGCTAAATCTGTGATATAGATTTTCTAATCAAAATTTCAACGATGATAATGAGGATCAACCTGTATTACACCAGGGCCCCGTTTACAAAACTTTGTGGCAACTCTCTTTTGTTGTAACTTTCATGACTGTGGCCAAATTCTACAATGATATCAAACTTAATAGGGATCAATCTGTCCCCAGCACCCGTTTTTATTTCAGCCCCTGGCCCTGACAGCCATTAAGTTTATTACTGGGAAAATTATCTTTAAAAGTACATTATGTTCAGTGTCAGCTGGGTCTGAGTGGCAACCTGTCTCCTCTGAGTCACACATGCAAGACAGATTTTGAAATCAAAAGATTCATTTTAAACCTGGAACACGATTTCATGTTGTGGTATTTCAGACTGAAACCTGTTTGAGGCTGAGGTTCAGAATTGTGGAATGTGTGAAAAAACAGTGAAACTTGTGATGAATTAAAACTATTGAGACTATCTTGGTCATGGTTATCCAACAGGTATCTAAGTTAACTTTGTCAATTTAATATGATTTCCCTTGATTGGTCTTGACAATTTGTAATCCATACAGTTCACAATTCTATCCTCCTCCTAGGAAAGATCGAAAAGTTGGCTTAAAATTCTGCCCACCTCACTACTCTACAAGAAATTGATCTGGCTTGACATCACTTTTTATACAACTTTCCCAAGACTATTAAAATCATGGTACTCGACTAATTAAATAGACAATCCCCTCAGGCATATGATTTTATATTTTCCTAACTTATACTATGAAGAACTGTAATGTAACTTTTTTCTTTATTTCCCTGTTTTGATACTTAGTCTATTTTAGTACCTAAGATTTGTAACTATGTATTTTGTACCTACGATGGTGCCATGTGTGCCAACATTGTAAACTTTTCACTGTATTCCTGTACTTGAGTACACATGACAATAAAACCTAATTGTAATTCTAGACTTCTGTGGAAGTCACATGCCCCAAAGCATTCTACACCCAGTGAAGTATTTTTGTAGTCACTGTTGTAACATGGACAGTAAGTTTGTGTACAGCAAAATCCCAGAAACTGCTGTGTTTAGTGGATAAATAAACATTAACGACACTTGACAAACTCTCCTATTCTCCTTTTAATTGAGTAAAACTTCCCGATGTGATTCACAGTGCATAGTTAGACCAAAAGTGGCAGTCAGCCCAAAAAGGAGATATTAGGATAGATGGGTAAGGGTTCAGTTAGCAAAACACTTTGTAAGAAAGAGAGAGAGGAAGAAAGGCTTATGGAGGTAATCCAGAGTTTAGGATCCAGACAGTTGAAGACACATAACAATGATGCACTGAAGGCAGCAGGCTTGCATATGAGACTGAATTTGGAATGTCATGGGATCCTTTAGAACTACTTGATATGGCTGGAAGGCCTTTGGTTTAAAATGTCTTTTGACACCTCTGACATGCAGTGCTCCCTCAATACTGTGCCAAGTTGTCAGTCCTGGTTAGATGATAAGGACTCTGAGTGAGTTGTGAACTCTCAACTTTCTAACTAAATATAGGAAATACAAATGGGCTTTGCAATAAAAAAAGGACTTCATTAGTTTAAAAAAAACTGAAGAGGAAACAAGGCATGCTTCAGTTGGTAAACTTTTGCCTATCCCCAACAAACAGACTGCTCGACAAAATATAAAAATAAATGCTAATGCATGACAATTGGAAAATGTGGAGAGAGAACATGCTGTGATAATTTTCCAAGTATTGTATTAATAGAACATCAAATAATCAATATCCCATCTTATTTCTTCACAGGAAAGCTGAGATTTGAAGGATTTAAAATTTACTCTGGAAAATGAAACTTTCAAAAGGATTAATGTTGGTGTTTGCAATCGTGGGGCTTGTTCTGGTTCTTTTGGCAGCAGCAGCTATTATTCTAGCAAAACTTCTGACAGAAGGTAAGAGGAAAGTATGTACGCTACATGTTGCTTAGACTTGAAGGGACTTGAAACTTTAAGTGAATCACTAAGGAATGAAATGTATTTGAGTTCAACTAAAACTTACATTTATATCAGAGATTGTAAGAAATGCCAATGCTGGAGTCAGAGATAACACAGTGTGGAACTGGAGAAGCACAACGGGCCAGGCAGCATCAGAGGAGCAGGAAAGCTGATGTTTCCAGTCGGGACCATTCTTCAGAAATGGGGCCCATTTCTGAAGAATGGTCCAGACCGGAAACGTCAGCTTTTCTGCTCCTCTGATGCTGCCTGACCTGCTGTGTTCCTCCAACTTACATTTATATGGTGCTTTCAATTGAGTAAAACTTCCCGACGTGATTCACAGTGCATAGTTAGACAAAAAGTGGCAGTCAACCCAAAAAGGAGATATTAGGATGGACGGCTAGGGACTCGGATAGCAAAACACTTTGTAAGAAAGAGAGAGGTGGAAAGGTTAATGGAGGAAATCCAGAGTTTGGGATCCAGACAGTTGAAGATACAGAACAATGATGCAGTGAAGGCAGCAGGCTTGCACAAGAGACTAAATTTGGAGGAACACAGAACTCTTGGAGTATTACGAACCTGGAGAAAGTCACAGGCAAACTGTGGCATTTGAACGTGAAAGCAAATGGAGGCATTTGAACATGAAAACTGGGATTTTTAGAAATTGAGATTTTGACGGATGGGAACATTCTTGGTTCAGCAGCACATGAGTGGTTGATAATTTGGATTTTTCAATGGATTAAGTAAAAACAGCAGAATTTATATCTGTTCAAGTTTATGGAGAGTGGAAGGTGAGATACTCACCTGGAGAACTTTGGAACAGTTTGTTTCAGAGGTAACAAAAGAAAAGATGAAGATTTTAGAGGAGAAAAGTTGAAGCTGGGATTGGCAAGGTTAATATTACATATATGGAATTAGGCAGTCTTTATGATGGAGGGAACATGGGACAAAAGCTAAGCTCAGCTCAGGGTCAGCTGTGACATCAAGGTCATCAAATTAGATCTTTAACTAAATTATAAGAGCTTCCGTTATGATTTTTACATTATATCATTCTCAGCCAAACTGCTCCATTGAATGATCTTATTAGGTGGCCTTGTAATGGTAAGTTCCCCAATATCCAATAATTCCATTCTATCACCTCTGTTGGAAAAGATAACGATTAAATTTTTGTAAATGTATTTACATTCTTCCTTAAATAAGGAGACTGAAACTGAAAACATTTTTCGAGATCTGGGACTCACCAATGCCCCATATAAGTGAAACATAATATCCTTGCTTTCATTTTCGATTTTTCTAATAAAGCATAGCATTCCATTAACCTTCTTAATGACTTGCTGTACCTGCATAGTGACTTTTTGTGACTCATGTACAAGAACATAAAGATCCTCTGCACCTCAGAACTCTGCAATCATTCTCTGCCTAAATGAACAATTCCACATTACACTCTATTTGCCAGATCTTTGTCTACTCACTGAATCTATTTATATTGGTTTGCAACCTCTTTATGTCATCTTCACAACATGCTTTCCTACCTACCTTTGAAAATTTCACCACCATGCCTTTTCTCCCCTAACCTAAGTTGTTGTTATAAACTGTAAAAAGTTGAGGCACCAGTTGATATATCAGAATTCATGTCTATTAACAACTTTTAATATAATTCCATAAATCATGTCTATTAATCCATTTACCCATTAATTTGTGGTTATAATGCTAACTGCAGATTTCCGTATACCAGCCATCCCCCATTCAAACTAATTCAGGGGCTCGCTACTGTATCAGGTTACAACCACTTCAATTTGCGATGACACCCCACTTGAAAGTGCAGTCATCCATAATGCGCTATGTAAAAAACCCCATTTAACAAGACAGGCATTCCATTCAAAGGTGCAGTCAGGTGTGGCAGCTAACAAAACTGCACAAACACTACAGGATGAAACCCTTTTGCACCCCACACCAAAAATAGTGTTTGATATTAAATCCAACTGTGAATAGGTGCTATTACCAAGTTGTTTATCTTCTCCCTCCAGCTAGATTAGCTCCAAGTATCAGTCAAAGGTGATAATTGGATTAGCCCTTTTCCTTTAAAGTAAAATGTTACTTCCCTGCAGACTTTTCCTGTATATTATGTAGCCAGGTACTTGTCCCAAGTTTTTATTCAACATGTGTATAAAACTTTACCCCACTAATAAAACTAACAAACGCTATGCAGTGTATGTAAGCAACCTTTAACCTACTAACCAAATTTACAGCGCTATGTCCAGACCCGCGCGACCTTGAATAAATGAATGAATGAATGAATGAAACTGGCAGCACTACTACAACAGGTGTGACCACGAAACCAAATGAATGAATGAATGAAAACCAAAAAAACTGCGGATGCTGTAAATCAGGAACAAAAACAAAGTTGCTGGAAAAGCTCAGCAGGTCTGGCAGCATCTCTGGAGGAGAAAACAGAGTTAACGTTTCGGGTCCAGTGACCCTTCCTCAGAACAGAACATGAATGAATGATACTAAATAGAACCCATAGATGGATGCAACCATGAAACTAACTAAACAAGTGATAGTAAATAAAAACCACAGACAACCAAACTGTTGAGAACTCAGACTTGTATTTAAAAAACACAAGATGCCTTTTTCTAACTTTAAAATTCTAACCTTGAAAATAACAAGACTAATACCTTTTGAATTATGCAAGGACAAACCAGACAGACACGCTAATCTCATTAAAATAACCATTAACAGTCAACAATAACCAGTAACATTTAGCACATGTTTAAACCATCTCCGATTTCCTGAAAAGCGGTTTTTGTACAATATCTATTGCTTAACACTCAAGTGTTAGAATGTTAATGTATGCTTGAATTCTGTATAAAAACAGCTGCTCTTGAGCTATGATTTTGGGATTCTATTTCACCTTACACCGTGCTGCTGTGAATGTACAATATAGAGGCTATTTTCGCCATTCACTGATCCTGGTCATCTGGTTCTTTGAACCTGATCTCACACAGTGCAGACATCCTCAGGACCCCACTCATCACATACTATCAATCAGAAAAAGATCCATTAATGCGTACTCTGTTTTCTACCAACCAGCCATCTTTTTCTCTCATATCATTAAATTGTAATGAGGAAGTTTCCTCGAATAGCAATGATCTTGAGATCATTAAAAATACGTTGGCTGTCTACATACCTTCGAAAAGGCACTTCTTTCCTGAAGTGATTACACTTCCTGTGTCAAGTTGAGAATGGAGAAAGAAGGTTGAATGGCCCCAGCCATCATCAGAGATCCTCTTTATCTCGTCGAGTTGATGTCAGCCATCTTCCATGATGAAAATTCAAGGTCCCCTAGACTTTGATATTGGACAACTACCTGATTCAGCAGTAAGCTGTCTGCTCAGTGAAAGTACTTCTTTCTTTTGCAGTTCTGAGCAAGAGAACTTCTTTTTTGATCCTATCCTAATCTGTAGGAATTGGTTTAATTTCCATGGAGTTGTAAGCAGCTCATCTTCATTTTGTGAAATTATTCACAATCTGTTATGCTGAAGTACATGTACATTTCTGACATTTTCATGTTGATTAGTTTTGTTGTCTCCATTTTCCCTCCACTTTTGTTGCATTGGTGCACTAGATATTTTCTACCCTCGGTCTTGTCACTGGAGATGTGCTACTTACTTAGCATTAGATCTTCCACTAGTACTGATAGTCCTGCTTCGGAAGACAAATAATGACAATGTTCCTCTTGAACTTGTGTCATGTTATTGAATTTAAATTTGCTGCAAGAATTTGTCCTGCACATCGTTTTACTGTCTGAACAACTTCAGGTAAAGATTCTTCAATGAGCTCAAATGGCTTGTTGAAGTATTACTCGTTGTTCCTGTCAGTATCTACTTTTGCTCACTGCCTTTGTTGATTTCTATTATCTGAAGGCAATTCAGTGACTTAGGAATGGAAAGCATTTCCACCAGTGGTGTATGAACACAGACTCCCTTTCCTATTGACAGCATGAATCAATCCCCTTACGACAAGTTGGGAATATCATTATATTCTTCCTTTTTGAGTTCCACTATGAGTCTAGGAAACGCAGTGGAATCTTCTACAGGCTGCCCCTTAATTTGGTGAATGATTGCAGTTTGGTTGTGGGCTAGTTGATTTCTGACCGTCTTCGCAACGAATAGACTTAGCACATCTTGGTTTTCACTAAGAAAAGGGCAATGCAGGTATGGACATCAGGGTGGAAGATTGTGAAATATTAGAAGAAATTAACCTAGGGAGAGAGCAGATTTTAGCCTAAACAGTGGATAAATCCACAGGCCTGGATGAGATATATCCCAGCCTGTTGAGGGAGGCAAAGGGTCCTGTCAATATTTGCTAATCCTATTCAACCACAGGTGAGGCACCAGAGGACTGGAGGACTGCCAACAATGCTCCATTATTTAAAAAAAAGGAGGAAGGAATAGACCACAAAATTACAGACCAGTCAGTCACACCTCAGTGGAGAGGAAGTTGTTAGAAATAATTTTGAGGGACACACTTGGAGAGGCCCAGATTATTCAGAGGTAATCAATATGGATTTGTTAAGGGAAGGTCGTTTTGGACAAATTTGAGTTAATTTGTTAAGAAGGTATCTTGGAGTGTTAATGACAGTAATGCATTTGATGTAGTCAATGTGGGCTTTAGCAAGATTTTTGATAAAGTCTGTCATGGCAAGCTGGTCAATAAAGTAAGAGCCCATGAGATCCAATAGCAAGTTGAGTCCATAATTGGCTGAGAGGCAGGAAGCAGAGTGATTGCAGATGGCTGATATATAATACAAGAGCAGGGAGATTATTTTGGAACTGCTATATAAAACAGTAGTTTGGAGTATTGAGTGCAGTTCTGATCATCACATTACAAGAAAGATGTGATTGTGCTAGAGAAAGAGTGCAGAGGAGATTTATCAGAATGCTCCCTGGGCTCAGGATCTGAGTTATGAGGAAAGATTAGATAAACAGGGGCTGTTTTCCTTTGAGCAGTCAAGGTTGAGAGGACACCTGATAGAACTGTATAAGATTATGAAGGACATACATAAGGTGGATATGAAGAGACATTTTCATTAGCAGAGACATCAATAACCAGAGGGTATAGATTTAAGGTAAGAGGCAGAAGACTAAAAAGAAGTTGAGAAGCTTTCTTTTAAATCAGAGGATGGTGAGAGTCTAGAACTCACTATCTGAAAAGGTCGTTAAATCAGAAACTCTTGTAACATTTAAGCAATACAGGCGGTCCCTGATTTACAAACACTTGACTTATGAGCACTTATACTTATGAACATGATCCCAGGTCAGGGTGTAATTTTAAAGATCCAACATACAAGATGTTTCATGTACTTACAGCTGTTTTATACTGTTCCGCATTGTGTTCCAACTTGCGTACAAATTGAATAACAAACGGACTCAAGAAGGGACCCCATTAACAATGTGAGGATTGCCTGTATTTAGATATTCAACTGTGTTGCCATAACCCTCCAGGATAGGTGCCAAAAACTAGAAAATGGGATTAGTGTAGTTGGATCTTTGTTGAATTGTGCAGACACAATGGGCCACATGGCCTCCTGCTGTGCTGTAAATGGCTACGAACTTGGTTTTTCTAATCATATTTGCTGTCACCTATCCTCTTTGTGATTCAGAAGTATGCTCCCTGTTTCTCCACCCAAGTCTGTATGACACCATCAGATTGGGTGGAACTTAGTGCAGCCTCCAACATTTATCCTTCTAAAACTATTAACTATAACAACATTTTGTTCTCCTCCTGATAGCCTAGACATGTTTAATCTGTGAAATTTTTCATTATCTATTGCAGGTTTTATTTTGCAGCTTGCTTGCCTGGTTTCAATACTACCAAATCGATAAATCACAGTTCTAAAGTGTATGAAAAGCTTAAATTCAGATGGAATATCTGCTGCCTCCCAGTTGAGACATGGGAATTTGGCAGATGTGGTGTGGTGTTTCCAGGACACCATATTTCTGAATTAAGAATAAGCTTTCTTACTCTCCTAATATTCAGGATTAAAGATGCACTCAAGTCATCACTCCCTGTTCCACCATTTTTGCTGTGCCCGGTATATGCTGTTCTTGTCTTTTTCATGCCATTTCTACGCAACTGGGTTTTGGCCTGAACACTTCTCCCAGCCTTTCTAAGCCTTCTGAGCCTGCCATTTGATTTTGCTTCCCTAGAACCTTCCAAAATAAGACACCATCCTGTTTTCTTGCAACTGAGTTTTGAACCTCTGTTGAAGTTTCAGACTGCTGCTGTTGTTCCAAGATGAACTGGAAGGTCTCTTCTTTCTGAATGATCTTTGAGAACTGAACGTGTTGCTGTGCTGTCCATAAGCTGGTGATCAATATGTCTGTGGTCCTCCACTTCAAAGCTGTAGAAGTCAAAATTCCAATGTCAGACAGTTACTGCATTGGTCTCTTTACGAGCATGCAGTTTTGAAATTGTACAGGAATGCATTAAAATGCTTACTGGTATGCTTAAAAATGGAAGATATTCAGAAACCACACATGCCACATGCTATATTGAATTTTCTGTATTACTCTTCGACACAAATGCAACACTCAAACAGGATCGGTTAACTCTAAGAGAGGTGTTCTACTTATGAAGATTAAGCGACACATGCATTATATTTAGAGCTCTTGCTAAACACATTTTACTCGGATGACTGCACACAGCACACTACCTGATCATAGATGGTAGCTGAAATCTGGTGATGTACTAAGACCGTAGCCACAGCTACACATGCACGACAACATGATTGCTGTCTTTAGAACAGAGAAGGTTATGTATACAGTTGCTAGAGATGTTCCAAATAAGGAAGGGTTTGACAGAGTAATTATGGATTAAATGACTCAGATCTTTGGATATCTTTGGGTATTGTCAAAGATTAGACAACCCACTTCATCACATCTACATCCCGAAAATGATAGATGCTGAGATACTGTGGAAGCCCCAATATATTGACTCTGATAGAATTGTCCAGGAAGTTTGATCTTCTGATGGGCAATTTTCTTGCTTTCCAGTAGCCTCTGAGTTAGAATCAGAGACCATAGACCATCTGACGTACCTGGATAGATACCCAGGAAATGTTGGATAAACATATTCTAGTCTAACTCCTGGGTAGCCATACATCTGAAACCCACTGATCTTCCAGACCCAAATTCCTTGACTCTGTGACACCCTCCAAACTCCTGAGTGCCAACAAGACTCTCTAACTTCAACTTCAAACCCCTGATCACCCCCAAACTTCCAAGACTCACCAACTCCCCACCCAACCACTCAACCCTTGAGTGCTGCCCCCTAACACTCCAACCCCTTGAGGTTTTTCAACACAATGTCAGTGGACGAACAATGATCTTTTTCAAGTCAGATGTGTGTAGCTGAAAAGAAACTTGCAGGTGATGGTATCCCCATTGCATTTGTTGCTGCTGTTCTTCCTGATGGGAGAGGTTGTGCATTTGGAAGGTGCTGTTGAAGGAACCTTGGCAATTTGCTGCAATGCATCTTCTAGATGGTGCACACTACCAAGGAGGGTCAGTGCCGGAGGGAATGAAAATTTAAGGTGATTGATGTTGTTGCTTTATTTTGGATGGTGTTGCGTGTTGGAGATTCACTTATCCAGCCAGGAGGAAAAATGCTTCCTCACATTTCTGGCTTGTGCCTCCTAAATAGGCTTTGGGAAGTCAGGAGGTGAGCCATAATATTTTCATGGTTGTCTAAATTAAGTTTCAGGTCTTTTATAATTCCCAGGATGGTGAATGTATGGGATTCAGTGATGGTGATGCAATTGGATAGCAAAGGGAAATGGTTAGCATGTCTCTTGTTAGAGATTCCTTGACACTTTTATGACACAAATGCCAGTTTCCATTTCAACCAAGCCTGGATGTCATGGTAAATTTTAAATCTTAAGACAGAATCAGATTTTATTACCTTAACCTAACACACTATTTTCCCTCCATGCTTGTTGGTGCATTAAAGTTAATATCTAGGAGGTTTGGTTCAGGAGGATTTCAAGACTAGGGTGCGCATTTTTAAGGTGAGAGGAGAGAGATTTAAAAAAAGACGTGGGGGGCAAATTTTTTACTCGGAGGGTGGTTCACATGTGGAATGAACATCCTGAGGAAGTGGTAGATGTGGGTACAATTACAACATTTAAAAGACATTTAGAATAAGAAAGGTTTGCAGGAATTTGGGCCAGGAGCAGGCAGGTGGGACTAGTTTGGTTTGGGATTATGTTTGGCATGGACTGCTTGGATGGAAGGGTTTGTTTTCATGCTGTAGGACTCTATGACTGTATGTGTTCCTACTCAATTAGTTGGCCTGTCAAATGTAACCAAAGTTGTATTGGCCTCCTCTATCCCTCAGCCAGTGTCGATATAACAATTTATCTAGTCATTTATCTCTGTTGTTTATGAAAGCATGCTGTGCACAGTTTAGCTGTTCCATTTCCTTATAGCTTAGTAACTACTACACATCAAAATCAATTTGTAGTGAGGTATTTTGGGAGATTCTGAGATCATAGAAGTTTCTGGATAAATATGAGTTCTTTTATTTAAAAAAAATGACACTTTCCTTCGTTTGCTCTGCTTATTAGTTGTTTTTGCCAGTGTGATTACAACAACCTTGTTCCATTACAATCTCTTTAACTTTCAGGTGGTTTAACAAAGGAGTCTACAGAGTCTCTACATCATGAGTTAATGAACCAGACCTTGATAAATGGAGGTAAGTTGAAACTTTTTATTAACATTTTTATTTGTAGCAGTATATGAGTGATTGATTCATCATCTTTATGCTCACTGACTGCATTAATTCCTGGCCCACCAAGTGCTTAGTACAGGTTTTTCATAATACTCTTGCTTCTGTTCTCTATGCCACTACTTATAAAGCCCAAAATGCTTTATTAGCCATTTTCTCAAACTACTCTGCTACCTTCAGTGATATGTGCATATAAACTGCTAGGTCTCTCCACTCCTGTGCCTTGTTTAGAATTATATACTTTTTTTTTACACTGCCCAATCTTGTTCTTCTGGCCAAAATATATCACTTCCCACTTCTGTGTATTAAATTTCACTTCCAGCCTGTTCATTATTCCATTATCCTACCCACACCCTCTTGATTTCTATCACTATCCTCCTCACTGTTCCCAATAATTCCATGGCAATGATTCTGTGGTTTTGAAATTGCTCCTTGCACACCAAAGTCTACGTCATTAACATAGGTCAAGAAAAGTAGTGGCTCTCATCAACCATTTCTATTACCTTCTCCAAAACGTCAGTTAAGTTAGTTAAAACTTCCCTTAACAGAGCCACACTGGCTTTCTGTGATTCATTCATATTTGTCCAAGTGACTGATAATTTTGTCACAGATTATCATTTCCAAAAGATTTCCCACCACTGAGGATAAATGGGCTTAGCCCTGCATTTTGTTTTTGAACAAGGTGTAAAACTTGCAGTTTTCCAATCCTCTGGGACCATAGCAGTATGTAAGGATTAAACAATAGTGCTCAATGCCTCTGAGATTGTGGCTGTTCAGGTGTTGGTGACTTGTCAAGTCTAAGGACAGGCAGCTTTCTAACATCCCTCGTTTTTTATATCAGTTTTTAGTCCTTCCAGTGTCTCAGCTATCTATTTCATTTGGACCTGGTGGTAACATCATCTTCCTTTGTAAAGACAGATGCAGAGTTTTCATTTAGTACATCACCATGGACTCCTGTTATGAATGTCTTTTTTTAAGCCCCCGGCTGGCCATATTCCTCTCTTTAAACACCATTTTCCTTGTAGATGGTTATAGAATACATTTGGATTCTATTTTATATTATCTACACTTCTTATGCTGTCCTTTCTTCCCTTTCTTAGATTTTATTTTCCCTTTAAATGTTTTAGATTTGCCTGCTTCTCATTGTCAATCTGATGTCTATTCTGTGCACTCTCACTCTACTACACTTTCCTCTTTCATTGGCTCATGAGATCTGGCTCTGCTTGTCCTACCTTCTCCTACCCCTACCCCCAAACATCTCCTGTTTAAAGATGGCCCATTGTTGTATTGCAGTTTTGCCTGCCAAGCTTCAATTCCAATTTATCTGGGCCACATTTGTTATCATCCCATTGGAATTAGCTCTCTTATTATAAGATCATAATAAATCAGGGCAGCAGTTAGCCATTTGGCCCCTCATGTCTGCACTGTCTCCAACTAGGGCATGGCTGACCTGATCATGGCCGTATCTCTACTTTCCTGCTGGACCATGATATCATGACTCCCCAGAAATTGAATATATTCAATGATTCAGTATTTACACCTCTCTGGGGAAGGCTATTCCAAAGATTTTCCATTCTCTGAGAAATGAAATTCCCCCTCATCTTTATCTTCAATGGGAAACCTCTTATTCTTAAACTTTGTCTCAAAGGTCTAGACTCTGCCCATGAGGGGAAACATCCACCCTACGTCTACCTGTCAAAAGTCTTTCATGTTTCAATAAGAACACCTCTCATTCTTTAAAATCAAATGAGTATAAGCCAAACTTGCTCAACCTTTTCTCATAAGACAACTTCATATCCCAGGAATTAGCCTAGTGAAGTTTCCCATGCCAGCTCCCTCTTTAAGTAATGGGACCCAAACCATAGATGGCATGATATTTTTACACTGTATTGCTTCGATATTCTTTTTCAAAGCTAACCTAAATCTTATGGTACTATGATTGTGTTCATTTTATCTTTTGGAATATGAATGCCCAGCATAAATCCTCCAAATGTACATGTCAGTCACTAATCATTTTTGTATGTTACACAGCTTGTGGCTCCAGACCTGCATTATCCAGTAGGATTGTTGGTGGGACAAACTCTGTGAATGGTGAATGGCCTTGGCAAGTTAGTCTCCAAATCGGATCACATGTCTGTGGTGCCTCCATCATCTCTGACAGATGGCTCATCTCTGCAGCTCATTGTTTTCAGAAGTAAGTATTAAGATTGTCTTTGACACATGTTTATTTGCACAAAGGTCAGGTTTTCTCAAAAAGATGGAACTTGGTCTTAATTCTGAAGAAGTTCTCGCTGCCTTATACCATAATTTGATAGACTATTGGGGAGAACATGGCCTAGTAGTATTATCGCTGGACTGTTAATTCAGAGACATAATTAAGGTTCTGGGGACCTGGGTTCATATCGGGCCAAGGCAGATAGTGACATTTGAATTCAGTACAGATCTGGGATTGAGAGTCTAATGATGACCATGAATCCATTGTCAATTGTCAGGAAAAATCCATCTGGTTCATTAATGTCCTTTAGAAAAGGAATCTGCCTTCCTTACCTGGTCTGACCTGCATGTGACTCCAGACCCATAGCAATATGGTTGACTCTTAACAGCCCTCTGGGTAATTGGGATGGGCAATAAATGCTGGCCCAGCCAGTGACACTCTCATCCCATGAATGAATGAAAAAACAAATTGTTGGTAAACCTGTGTACAAAGAAAATAATTTGTACTGCTGCCTTGCCAGCTGTGTCAACTTCCAGTTGAAGTTAGAACATTTAATCAGAAACCCATACTGTGGTATTTCCAGGTCGATGTGCCTATTTGTTGTTTTTGGTGAGGGTCATTGACTATACAGTCCAAGTGAACTGAGACAACGGTCTAGTGAGATTTGGGAAAATACCTTTCCACTGATTTTCTGTTGAAAGCAGGCTCTTTAGCTATGGGCACATGGCAATGTTAACTAAAACTTCAGCTATTACATGACTAACCAGTGCTTTCATCATGGATTGTTGACATACTGATAAATTAAGATAAACAAGAAAAGTGGCCTTATGGCCCGTTCATCTAAGATACTTCTCAACTCATTCATTTTAATTTTCAAGTATCTGACTCCCATCTGGTCTTGACTAAGAAATAAAATTTAAGATTGGAAACATGTAGTGGAAATTTTGATAATAAATTCATAAGATCATAAAGTGTAGCACACAAAAAGCCTCCTGTATTATTTTGTTGTCCCAATATCCAAATTGAATGCTTGCTAACGTATCCAGCAAGAGTTCTTAGCCTCAGTCTAGACATTCCTATTTTTCTCTCTCTGCAGCTTTTTATAATTATTAAATATTAAAGATAAAAGAAGGCCATTCAGCCCCTCATGTCATTAGTAGCAATCCTAATGTAATTGCAGTGCCTTCCATTCTATCCATCTTCTTTTTCAAATTTTATAAACCTCCAGTTAATAGCCAAAAGAATTACACAATGAGGTATTACATTTTAAGACATTTACAGTGACAAAAGACAGACTATTAATTAAGTCTATCTCTGTAGGGAATTTATACTAAGCAGAACAGTTCCCTTTTTACTTCTTTTCCAATCAAAAGAAAATGTGCTTCATAGATAAACTTTACACTAAGCTTTAAGTAGACATTTACATATCCCTGAATCAGTCCAAAGTGATTCTTAATTCCCAAAGGTTTAGTTTTGTTCTCTTCCTTTTTCAGCCCTGTAGCTTTGATTTCAGAATTGTCCTTCCTGGTGAGACTGCTCCTAGCGATCCTTCCCCAGCATGACCTAGGGAAATCTTCCAGCCTCATTTAGTGCCACACAAATTTGGTCTTATCAATCTATATTTGAGCTGTACATATTCCAAAATGGTATACCACAGAGCGTTTGGTCTATTGCTGTTCTTCCTCATCCCAGGAAAGCCTACAAACCAAATCTTACAATGGCTTCCATTCCTGCCTTTTACATGGCAATGCCAATCATGTTGACCTTGTACCAAGGTAGAAATGCTAACTAGCTATGCTTTAATCCCCAGTTCCATCCTTTCCTGGAATCTGATGGATATTTCAAAGTATATCCTTTTATAACCTGACATTCACAATACTTCCTTACAGTAATTGGAGACTCATTTTTCCACCCGTAGCACAGCTGCCTTCAGTATTGCATGTATGAATGAATATCTTGCACTTTCTCAGTAAAACAATCTAGGCTTTGAATTAACCTTTAATAGTCTCATCACCCAGAGAGGCATGCTTCGGCACAGGTTACAGGACACTATTCATTTTATCCTACATATAAAGACAGTCCCTTCACTTTAAACCTCATAACTATAACACAACAGCAGAGCATTCCATGCTTCAATCGTGTTCTGGATTACTCATGTTACTATAAACTCAGTTCTCAGACTCATACTGGCAAAATTAAATTGATGAACCTTAAGACATTAAATTGATGAACTCTTAACCTGACAATGATTCTTTCCTATTCATTATGTTAAAATCATTTACCATTAAACCTCCTGCTCCCCTTCTTTGCTCAAGTGGAGAGCGGTCCAATGTGTCAAGTCCTCCAGTTTTCTATCCCTGGCCTTTCCAGGCAAATCTGCACAGTGTATAATTCTCTCAGATGCTTTTTCAGTAGTAGATTCTGAATGGGCACTGTAGTCTGTGTGGCATAACCAATGTTTTATGTAAATTTATCATGATCATTAATTTACTCCTGTACCCAATGTTCTGTCCCAAGGTGACGTTGGCCCTGGTGGTAGATATAAGCAATTTCAGAAAATACCTTTACCTGTCTGCACCCACATATATCATGTTTCAATCCCAAGCCTCTTTGTTCTTCTCAACCATTCAACATCTTTCCATTTAAGGTGGGCAGTATTCCGTTCCTTGTTCTCTGTGTTATCTCACATTTAGCAAAAATTGTGTCTTCTATCATCTATTTCATAAATCTTATTTTCCAGAGACATTTACCATCCTGCCTCCTGCCTGCCAAAGTGCTTGCTTTTCTTTTTCTCTCCATGCACCTGTTAACCTTGTTCTTCTCAATGGTAGAGTCCTCAGGATTAGAAGGTGCTGTCAAAGACTCATAATCAGTTGCTAGGCAGCTGAAGGCCAGTTGTGAGGTGAGACTGAAGGGATGGATGTGGAAGTGGATAGGTGAAAGTAATGGAGACAGGGGTACAGGGAGGGAGTTGTAAGACCAGAGGACAAGACAGAGATAGGAAAAGGTAAAACTAAGCTGCAACTTAAACATAAGGCTGAAAATTTAAAATTGAGGGGAAGAAAGATTTTTACAGCTGTAAAACTGCAGGGCTAGTTGATAACCAGAGGACAGTATTCAGGTGAAAGGAAAGTGGCAAAATAGTTCAATCCCGAAAGTGTGAGGTAAATCTTTTGATGAGAGCTAACAATGTCAGAGAATGCACAATAAATAAGGCATAGCTCATAAAGGAAAGATTGGATAAGCTGCAATTTTTTTCTCTTTTAGAAAAAAGGAAATTGAGAGAAGATGTAATTAGGTATATAATATTATAACGCCTGAAATAACATGTACAGGAAGGACCTAATCCCCATTAACATATAAGTCAACAACCAGGAATACAGATTTAAAGTAATTGGTAGAAGGATTAGAGAGGTGTACAGGATAATGTTTTTCATCTAAAGAGCTGTAGGGATCTAGAAGTCTCTGCTTAAAAGGATTACATAGAACATAGAACATAGAACAGTACAGCACAGTACAGGCCCTTTGGCCCACGATGTTGTGCCGAACTTTTACCCAAAACCTAAGGTCTATGTAACCTCCAGCCCTACCTTATGCTATCATCCATATGCCTATCTAATAGCCGCTTAAATGCCCCTAATGAGGCTGACTCCACTACCCTCTCCAGCAATGCATTCCACACCCCGACCACTCTCTGAGTAAAGAACCTACCTCTGACGTCTCCCCTATATATACCTCCACTCATTTTAAAACTAAGCCCACTCATAATAGCTACCTCCACCCTAGGAAAAAGTCTCTGGCTGTCCACTCTGTCTATACCTCTATCAAGTCACCTCTCATCCTTCGTCGTTCTAAAGAGGAAAGCAAGAAATGTAGATACAGAAATACTGATTGCATTTAAAAAGTACTGGAAAAAATACTTCAACCTTCAGGCCTATTGGCCAAGAGCTGGAAAACAGGATGAGACTGAATAATTCTTTCTTGGTCAGCACAAACAACAATGGGCTGAATGGCCTCCTTTGAAGGATAAAATGTCTATTTCCATATTGGTTAGGGTTGCAATCTTGAAAGGATATAGGAAGAGTATTCAATTGTACTTTTCAAAAGGAAATTGCATGTAAATCTGGAAATATGTACAGGTTTATGGGGAAACTGGGGATTGTTCTTTTAAATGAGCTGAAAGACCTCTTTTGCTGTCAAATTCTGCAATTCTCAAGAGCTAGTATAGATCAGTTGACATCTATGTTACACAGAGGTGGAGAATGCTGGAGTAATGGAGTCTGGTCCTAACAAAGGCATGAATGAGAGCTTCAGCAGCAAATGGTTTTCAGTAGGGTAAGAGGTGAGCAATCTTGGCTTTAACAGCAGTCTCTGTGATGGCGAAGACCTCAAGTCACAAGTTAACTCAGTGTTACACAAAAGTTATAGATTTAACCTAAATGTTTTCAAAAAGATTGAAATTATGTTTATTTATTTTTGCTTAAAGAGCATTCGCCAACACTTCAAAATGGAAAGCTTACATGGGATCAATTTTTGTTGGACGTGGTATATCCAGAACCATCAGTAAAATCCACGTCCACCCTAACTATAGCATTCCAATGAACTTTAACAATGATATTGCAGTACTGGAGCTTTCTTCTCCTGTCAACTTCAATAAGTTCATCCAGCCAATTTGTCTCCCATCGAGTCGTGAAGTCATCTCTGCTGGTCGAAAATGCACAATCACAGGATGGGGAGCGCTTGCCTTTCAAGGTTAGATTTTGGCATTATTCCAATTTTAATTGAATAGTTTGTAACTAGAACTGCCATTTTCCATATGGTTCATATCTTAGTGTTTATTTCTTTAAGTATGTTGAATGTGTCAGACACAAAAAAAATCATCAGTTTGAGTATCCATTGTCCATGTTAATTTTGCCTGTTATCGGTCTATAGTGATGCCTGTGGTTAATTGACCAATGTTTCTTCAGGATACTGGAAGCACACTAACATATGAATTAGGAGCAGAGTAGACCATGCAACCCATCAAGCCTGGTCCATTATTCATTTTCATCTATATTCTCATCTATTGCAGATAACCCATCAACTCCTTGCTTATCAAGACCCTAAATATACCTTTAAAAATTCACCTCCACCATCTCTTAAGGCTGTTTCCAATGCAAAAGCATGTTTTTTTCTACTGGAGAAAGTACTCCAATGTATCTGGACAATTGTAGAATATTTGTGAATTTAATGATCAATTTAGTAGTCATTTATTTTTAAGGACAGAGCCCTGTAATCAATAACTGCATTAAAATGTGCTTTTTCACACAGCATCCAATTATGCCATTTAGAGTTAGTAAGATGTTTTAAACTTATTTGATATTGATTCACCTGACATGTTTCACAACGTCTTCAAAAAGCCCAGGAACTATCACTGTGTTAAATGGGATAGACTCAAACAGATCCAACAACACAAATGTGTACATTCCTGAGGTGGACTATCAGCAGCAGCAGAATCATGCACCAACACAGTCTGTAACCTCATAGTCTAGTATAATCTCTCACACTACCGTTACCATCAAGCTCCTGACCGCATGACAGCCTTGATTCAATGAAGAGTGCAGGAGGGCAGTCAGGAACAACAAGGGGCATACCTAAAAATGATGATGTGTCAACCTCCAACACAAGACTACTTGCATTAGCAGCAAATGATAAATACAGCTGAGCAACTCCACAACCAGTGGATCAGATTTAAACTCTGAAGCCCTGGCTGAACAAGATGAGAACAGGGGGTGGGTGGGGATCAGTTAAACACCTTAGTGGAGGAGGTGGATCTGCACATATTTTCCATCTTCAATAATGGGGAGCCCAGCTCCTCAGTGCAAGAGATAAGGCTCAAGCATTCACAACAATTTTCACGCAGAAATGTCAAGTAAATGATCCATCTCAGCCTGTTCCAGAGGTGTCCAGCATCACTGATGCCAGTCTTCAGCCAATTCAGTTCATTCCACATGATATCAAGAAATAGTTGTAGTCACTGGAAGCTGTAAAGTAACGGGCCCTGACAACATTCCAGAAATAGTGCTGAAGACTCGTGTTCTAGAGCTTGCTGCAGACTTAGCCAATTTGTTCCAGCACAACTACAACACTGGCATCCACCCAACAATGTGGAAAAATGCCCAGGTATGGACAAGACAAATCAAATGTGGACAATTACTGTCCAAGGAATCTACTCTTGCTCATCAGTAAAATGATGGAAGGCGACATCAACAGTGCTAACAAGCCACATCTGCTCAGCAATAACCTTCTCGCTGATGCCCAGTTTGGGTTCTATCAGGGCCTGACCTCGTAATAGCCTTGGTTCGAACATGAACAAAAGAGCTGAATTCCACAGGTGAGGGAAGAGAGACAGCTTTTGGCATCAGACATTTGACCAAGTGTGGCATTGAGAACCCTTGGCAAACTCAAGTCAAAGGGAATCAGAAAGATTCTCCACTGGTTGTAGCCAGACCTGGCACACAGGAAGATAGGCGTGGTTGTTGGAGGTCAGTCACCTCAGCTCCAGGACATCTCTGGAGTCCCTCAGAGTAGTGTCCTAGGCCCAATCATTTCAGCTGCTTCATCAATGACCTTTCCTCCATCATAAGGTCAGAAGTGAGGATATTTGTTGATGATTGTACAATATTCCACGCTATTCACGACTCTTCAGACACTGAAAATATCCAGGTTTGAGCTTAAAAAGTGGCAAGCAATATTTGTGCCATGCAAGTGCCAGGCAATGACCATCTCCAAAACAAAGAGAATCTAACCATTTCCCCTTGACATTAAATGACATCATAATCGCTGAATCTCCCACTATGAACAGCATGGGGGCCAGCATTAACCAGAAACTGAACTGGACTACCAAATAATATAGTGGGTACAACAGCAGGTTCTTTATTCAATAATAGGATGACAGCATTGCTGACCAGGCAGCATTTATTGCCCACAGGGCAGTTAACAGTCAACCACATTGTTGTGGGTCTGGAGTCACATAATGGCTGGACCAGATGAGGATGGCAGTTTCCTTCCTTAAAGGACATTAGCGAACCAAATTTTCCAACAATCAACAATGGATTCCCAGTTATCATTAGCCTCTTAATTCCAGATATTTATTGAATTCAAATTCCATCATCTGCCATGGTGGGATTTGAACCTGGGTCCCCAGAACCTTATCTGGGTCTCTGAATTAACAGTCCAGTGATAGTACCACTAGGCTGCCACCTCCCACTTTGAGGTCAGAGGCTAGGAATCCTGCAGTGAGCAACACAAGTCCTGGCTCCCCACAACCTGTCCACCATCTCCAGGGCACAAGTCAGGAGTCAAAGCATCCCACTTGATTGGCACCACATCTGTAAATATGCACTCTCTTCAGTAGTGCAGTGTGCACCATTTAAAAGATGCACTGCAGAAATTCACCAAAGCTCCTTAGATAGCACCATCCAAACCTACAGCCACTACCGCCTACAAGGAAAAGTACATAGGATCACCACCACCTGCAAGTTCCTCTTCAAAACTACTGTCCACCCTCACTAGGAAATATATCACAGTTCATTCAGTGTCACTGGGAGAAATCCTGGAAATTTATCCTTTAATGTGGGTTACCTTGTGGGTCTACTTACAGTACATGGACTGCAGAAGTTTAAGGCAGCTCAGTATAACCTTCTGAAGGGCAACTAGGGATTTGCAATAAATGCTGTCTCAGCTAGTAACATGCACATCCCATGAATGAGTTAAAAATAAGTGCTGCAGTGAAATGTCAGACTTGACTTTTATGCTCAAATTCAGAAATTAATGAAGAACTGAATAATTATTTTTTTCCTCCAGGCCCACCTGCAAAGATCCTTCAAAAAGCAGAAGTGAAAATTATCAATGACAAACGATGCAAGCGTACCTTTGGAAACCAAATTAGTGATACAATGCTGTGTGCTGGTATCTTAGCTGGAGGAGTTGATGCCTGTCAGGTAGCCTTTTCACCTAAACAAAATGTGGATAAACATTTATATACAATTATTCAAGATAGTATCAATATGTTTTGAAGAAAATATATTAAGTCATGCTTATTTGGATGTAAAACAATGAGTAGTATTTTTATTCATGAACTAGTGTTCAACAAGCCCATTTACTGATGTAAACAACAGGTCACAAATAGCTTCAAACTGAATCTAGGTTAATGGTCTCTACAAGAAATAGACACTCTCTCCCTATGATTGTAGATTGTAAGTGTTGCAAAGATTCCATTCCAGGCTGACTTCCAATGCTTTTGAAAATAAAGGGAGCAAAATTAAATGTCTTATAGTGGGAGCAGGTTTTTCTGTCATTTTGGCAACTTTAAGGCTGAAAACTTACTTAGAACTTGTTGCTGCTTGTTCTCTCATCTAACCATGAATTGCCAATAGCAATGACTTTCACTCATTCTTCAATCCTTAAATCCATACAATAGGGTAAATTGACATGTTCCATGATATTGGAAGGGTGGTATGGTCGGTCAGTGGTTAGCACTGCAGCCTCACAGCGCCAGGGACCCGGGTTTGATTCCACCCTCGGGCAACTGTCTGTATGAAGTTAGTACATTCTCCCCATGTCTGCATGGGTTTACTCCGGGTGCTCCAGTTTCCTCCCGCAGTCCAAAGATGTGCAGGCTAGGTGGATTGATCATGCTAAATTGCCCGTAGTGTTCAGGGATGTGTACATTAGGTGGGTTATAGGAGGATGGGTCTGGATGGGATGCACTGAGGTTTGGTGTGGACTTGTTGGGCCGAAGGGCCTGTTTCCACACTGTAGGAATTCTATGATTCTACTATTACGGATACTGGTTATTATTCATATATTTCCTTCTAACCTTCAAACACAAATTTACCAAGCACTCAAATAGGACTGATAAACTACTGGCGGTAACAAAATCAGAAATTGCTGGAAAAACTCAGCAGGTCTGGCAGCATCTGTGGAGAGAAAGCAGAGTTAACATTTCGAGTTAACTGACCCTTCTTCAGAACCCCTAGTGGCAGTCCCAGGTGGCAAACAGGCTCTGTTCTTCAGTCCGTTCATAAGTCAGTTTATATGCAAGTTAGAACACAGTTCAGAACAGTATAAAATAGCCATAAAATAGACTAAATATTCATCAGATATAATGTAATATTAATACGCCCCAGTGTGGTATTGTATTTGTAAGTTCAAGCATTTGTAAATTGGATGTTCCTAAATCAGGGACCCCTGTATTTTAAAAACTCTTCCAAGTACATCTCGCTTTGTCAATTAATATATTTGAAGATTGTGTTACATGACAGATTATATCATATCCTCTATGATGATGTATGCAGACTATCAACATACCTACATAAAGATACACTGCAGCATCTATCACGTCATTATCTGTTATTAATGACAATGGAATAAGAAGTGGACAGGTCCTATAAAGGACAGATGATTATTGACCAGGCTGTGTAGATGTCACTCAGAGATAGTAAGAACTGCCAATGCTGGAGTCTGAGATAACACAGTGTGGAGCTGGAGGAACACAGCAGGCCAGGCAGCATCAGAGGAGCAGGAAAGCTGATGTTTCGGGTCGGGACTCTTCTTCAGAAAACGGGTCCTGACCCGAAACGTCAGCTTTCCTGCTCCTATTGTGAAGATGTCACATTAGGTTTGATCATTAGATTATATTTGACCATTTGGTCTGATTCCCCAATCCTGTTGTCCCAGAGAGGAGTGGTATTTTCAGTGCTGGCTTCAGTCTTAAATGATACATTGAATGTTCCAGGCAATTGAGAGCCGCACCTCACTGGGAATTCCTGAATGAAGAAACAGTCATCAGCAGAGACTTCCTTCAACCACACACAAATTGGCACACAGGCAGTGTACTAGAGCTATAGCCTTACAATAACTGAAGGCAAGATCTGGCATTTTAAATCAATATTCACTTGTTACCCAAACATTAATTTGTATGTAAGAAATTCAACACATCACATAGTAAACATAAAATGCTTGAGAGGAATGGGTGTCTTCGAATATGAGCTAGGGTTTTTTTTCAGACAAGCTAGGAAACTGTTGTAGACTAATTGAGAAGGATTAGTGAAACATCTCATTATCATGTCATAACCAGGATTGTAGAAGATAAACTAAATAGGTCGGACCGTTTCTCATTTATCAATTCCTATGTTTCTATTAACTTGTGACAATCTTAAGACACATTGCAAATGGACCTTGAGTGTTCTAAACTGGGATTGCTATACAATGAGGCAATTATCTTCCTGGTGGAACAGGCTAGCGAATAAGAAATTGAAGCTCAAATTGCTTGGGTTTTGGGATGAAAATTGCCTGAATCCTATACCATGTGTACGATAGGGCTGAATCTCTATTTTTTTGGCTCTGTGCAAGTTTCGGCAAGTTTTTTTGCAGGAATCTCACTGTGAGACCCAGTGAGATGTCTCACCGTATCTTACCTAATTTGCCTCGTTAACTACTTACCCCACCCCTGTGGCATCCCTCACATCCAAACCTATTCCTATCTTAGCAGGTGCAATTCCCAAGGCATCTCATCACTACTGACGTAGCCTGGAAATGACCTGGTGCCCATGCCATCTTTATAAGCTTATGCACCTGGACAAGCCCTGAAGCTATCCTGAATGATTCCTACATATGACACATGTGTGACAGACTAGGGGGAATTGGCACCTGGTTTTGCAGGCAGGGACCTGGGATTCCTGTTGGATGGGGCGGTGCAGATACAGATGACCTCCTTGCGCCACCCAGGTCAGTGTAGTCTCAGCTATCTGGAGGGATGCCCTACACTGTAGGAAGATAGTCGATTACCTTCTCCATTCCACCAGCATAAATATCACCATGTATTTTCCACTCCCTTCCACTCTTTCTCTATCTCTCTGCTACCACACCCACCTCCTACCAAGGCTAATTCTTTATCACTCTCAATATTGTCTGTAGTATCTTCCCTCACTCACTGTCACCCCCTACCCAATAACCCTGCATACCCTCTCCGCTGCCTACTCACTCTTTCGGGACAACTCTCCTGTGACACCCACTTTCCTCTCTTTTCATACCCACCTCTCCCTCATTCCAGGAGGAAAGCAGCATACAGTGGGGCAGAAAGACTCAAGATGGATAAATATGGGCTACCCCATATTTAGTTCCTTCCTCCTTTTGCAGAAGGCATCCTGACTCTGACTGCACAAGTGGCTGGCTGGTTGACTGACAGTGTCCAAGCCCCCAAACACAGTATTAGAGGCTGCCTTTAACCATCCTCAGTGAAGGTTACCCCCCTTGACTTGATTGAGGCTTCCTTCCTGCATGCCAATGCAAAATGACAAGGAAAGACTGAAGTCCATATGAGCTTGATTGCCCCATTCAGCAAGAACTAAGTACACAAAGGCAATGAACTGGTCCATGGCCTGAGATGCTGGTGTCCAACATGAGAGGAACATTCCAGCAAGTAGCCAGGCAAAGTTACCGAGTACCACTCTGATTTCAACCTCGAGATTTCTTGACATCTAGCTTTGTTTTTGTTGTGTTTGTTAAGATGGGAAGCTGAATCTTAATGAGGTGAGTTGTGACATTAATAATGTGTTCAGCTAGCTATCATCCCCCTTAACTGGCAACTCGTCACTGCCTAGCAAGAAACCTGTTTCACCGCTCAGCAAAATGCATAAAAGGTGCAGCAAGATGTTTCCGCAGTTGAGACTTCTGGTCTGATTCTGTAACAAATCTTGCCGTAGCCCACATCACTCAGACCACGAAAAGACTCTGCCCACAGTATAGCTCCATCTACTGCCCACTGCTGGAAATGCATGCCTGTGAGGGCACCAAAATTAAACATTTTCGTTTATTTCACTCTTTGTGCAAAAAGCTAGACCCAGCACGGGTGCTTCAACTTTTACTGCTGTTTTTCTCTACCTTCCGAACATGATGCCAAATGAAATTAATCTCTTCTGCCTGCCCTTGGTTCATATCCCTCTATTCCTTGCATATACACTTGCTTATTTAAAAATCCTTTCAACGCCCCTATCATATTTGCCTCCACCACCACACCTGGCAGCCTGTTTCAGACTTGGTAGGGCAAATCAGGGTAGGACTTACACACTTAATGGTAGGGAGCTGGGGAGTGTTGCTGAACAAAGAGACCTTGGAGTGCAGGTTCACATTTCCTTGAAAGTGGAGTCACAGGTTGACAGTGTAGTGAAGAAAGTGTTTGGTACATTTGCCTTTATTGTTTAATGCATTGAGTATAGGAGTTGGGAGGTCCAGTTGCGGTTGTGCAGGACATTGGTTAGGCCACTTTTGGAACACTGCGTTCAGTTCTGGTCTCCCTGCTATAGGAAAAATGTTGTTAAACTTCAAAAGGTACAGTAAAAATGTACAAGGATGGTGCAAGGGTTGGAGGGTCTGAGCTATAGGAAGAGCCTGAACAGGCTAGGGCTGTTTTCCCTGGAGCATCGGAGGCTGAGGGGTGACCTTATAGAAGTTGTTAAAATCATGCGGATCATGGATAGGGTGAATAGTCAAGGTTTTTTCCCCAGGATAGGGGAGTCCAAAACTAGAGGGCATAGGTTTAAGGTGAGAAAGGTTTAAAAGGGACCTAAGGCGCAACTTTTTCACACAGAGGGTGGTGCGTGTATAGAATGAGCTGCCAGCGGTAGTGATGGAGGATGGTACAATTATAATATTTAAAAGTCATCTGGATGGCTATATGAAAAAGGAAGTGTTTAAGAGGGATATGGGCCAAATGCTGGCAAATGAGACTAGATCAATTTGGAATATCTGGTTGGCATGGACGATTTGGACCAAAGGATCTGTTTCCATGCAGTACAACTCTATGACTCTGTAAAACACTTGCCCCTCATATCTCCTTTGAATTTTCCCCGTCTCACCTTAAATGCATGCCCCTACTTTTAGACATTTCAACTCTGGGAAACAGATTCTGACTGTCAACTCTATCTATGCATCTCATAATTTTATTGACTTTTATCAAGTCTCCCCGCAGCCTCCACCACTCCAGAGAAAACAGCCCGAGTTTTTCTAGACTCTCCTTCTAGCTCATACCCTCTTATCCAGGCAGCATCCTGGTAAACCTCTTCTGCACCCTCTTCAAAGCCCCCACATCCTTCTTGTAATGTGGCAACCCAAACTGAACGCAATACTCTTAGTGTGGTCTAACCAAAGTCTTACAAAGCCGCAATATGACATTCTGACTATTGTACTCAATTCCCTGACAAATAAAAACGAGCATGCCACACCCCTTCTTTACCACCCTATCTACTTGCGTGGCCACTTTGAGGGAGCTATGGACTTGAACCCCAAGATCCATCTGTACATCAATGTTGTTGAGGGTCCTGCCATTACCTGTATACTTTTCCTAAATATTTGATCTCCTAAAGTGCAGGACCTCACACATACCTGAATAAACTCCATCTGCCATTTCTCTGCCCATATCTGCAACTGAGCTATATCCCACTGTATCCTTTGACAACCCTCTACACTGTCCACAATTCCACTGATCCTTGCATTGTCTTCAAACTGATTAACCTACCCACCTACATTTTTAACCAAGTCATTTATATATATCACAAACAGCAGAAGTCCCAGTACGAATCCATCCTGAACACCACCAGTCACTGACGTCCAGCCAGAAAACTATCCTTCCATCACTGCCTCTGCCTTCTATGGGCAAGCTAATTCTGAATCCACATGGCCAAGTCACTGTGGATCCCATGTATCTTAATCTTCTGGATGAGCCTACCATGAGGGACTTGTCAAAGCCTTACTAAAATTCATGTAGACAACATCCACTGCTCTCCCCTCATTGAATTTTTTGATCAATCAAGTTAGGAAGACATGACATGCCCCACACAGAGTCATGCTGACTGACCCTAATTAGGCCATGCTTTTCCAAATGAACATAAATTCTATCCCAAAGAATTCTCTCCACTAGTTTCCCAAACACCGATGTGAGGCTCACCAGTCTATAGTTTCCTGGATTATCCCTATTTCTCTTCTTGAACAGGGGAACAACAACCTCTCCAGTGGCTAGCAAAGATATAAAGATATTGGTCAAGTCCCAACAATTTGTTTTCTTGCTTCTCTCAAAAACCTGAGAGAGATACCATCGGGCCCTGGGGGATTATCCAACTTAATGCTCTTCAAGAGACCCAACACCACTTATTTCTTGATCTCGAAATGCCCTAGTATATTCGTATGCTTCATACTAATCTCACTATCTTTTGCCTGGCTGAATACTGACGCAAAGTACTCATTTAGTATCTCACCCACATCCTCTGCCTCCAAGCACAAGTTCCTTCCTTTATCCTTGAGTGGCCCTACCTTCTCCTTAGTTATCATCTTGTTTTTAATGTATGTACAGTATGCCTTGGGATTCTCTTTAAGTTTACTTGCTAAGGTCATTTCATGGCCCCTGCTCTCCTAATTCACTGCTTGAGTTCTTTCTTCCTTTCTTTATTTTCGTCACAGACCCTGTCTGTGATATATTATTCTTATAATATTGTACATTATATATTCTTAGTATATTATAGTTATTTATATTATTTTGTTCTTTAATTAATTCTTCTCTGGTTTTTGTGGAATATTTTGCTTTGTGTCTTCCTTTCCCCGTCTCCGTCTAATGCTTTCCTCCAAATCTTGTTTTGTTTGTCTCCACTCTCAGTTTACCTTTATTTCTGGGGGTCAGTGACTAATGAAGAATTCATGACGCAGGTTCAAATCTAGAAAACCATTGCTAGCATCGACTAGTTTGGCCCTGGAATTTGAAATGGCACAAGAGAGAACATCAATGTCCTGAAAACTATTTTGTGTATGCACAGCATTTCCTTCCTGCATCGATATTTCTGATGTGTCTTACCACTAACAGGAACACATGATATTTTGTGATGCATTAGGTATATGTCACATTAAAGAATTATAATTGCTGTGTACTCTTCTTATTACAGGGTGATTCAGGAGGTTCACTGGTTTGTCAGAGATCAAATAACACTTGGTTTCTAGCTGGGATCGTGAGCTTTGGTATTGACTGTGCAAGGCCAAATATCCCTGGAGTGTATGCTCGTGTTACAGCTCTTAGAGACTGGGTGCAGCAGGAAACTGGATTGTAGATAGAACTATTTCCCAACGTGTAGCTACTGAATGAACAATGACGTCAAAAAAGCCACAGTAAAGCCACAAATGCAGTGGTTTCATTCATCCTACAAGTAACCACATTTCTTTTCAGAGCGGGTGAGTGAGAAGAAGGCAGCCTGATTCATTCAATTCCATTATAGATTCATGAGTAGGATCCAGTAGCAGAACGCACAATGTAAAAACGGTCGAACAGCACATGAGGATAATAAAGCTGTAGTCCATGGACCCCAGCTGAATATGTTGTTTCTGGCAAAGCTCACCACAAATCAGAAAAGCTGTTTGAATGCTCTATCAGTTTAAGTGTAGTATTTTCTGATATTATTTCCTGGATTAGTAAAGTAGTGTTTAAAGACCCATTTTTTCATGTGATTTACAGCAGATTTGTGTTTCAATTTAATGAACTGGGAGAAGTTATGCAGGGATCTGGAGAGGCCATGAAAGTTCTTGATGCCATGATTGAAGGATTCTGAATAAAGCCAAAAAGGCTGGAAATAGTCAGCAGACCAAGCAGCGTCTAGGGAAACATAGATTTAACACTTTGGATCAAATACCTACTCTCAGAACTGGGACTGGCTCCCACTTGTTATATTTTTAATTCAAAGAATGTTTGCATGGGATTCTTTTGACTTTTGGTAAAATCAATTTAGCTGCTGGTTATATAAAATGAAAAAGCAATATGGAAAATCGAAAACCAGGAGAAGTGATCAATATTATCTTACCTACTTTGCACCAACATGAGAAGTCAATGCTATCCCTTCATGCCCAAACTAAATAAATAAAAATTAAGCTTTTGAAGGGATTTTTCATTGTAAAAAAGATATTACGGATAACAACCATCATCCCATAATTGTTTTCTATTACTTGATTAGAATTTAGAATCACCTAAAATACAGTATCTGTGGATTATTCATTGATAATTCACAAACGTGCAGAATTTTATGTTTTTCTTGAATGTTTAATGCTTCAAGCAACACTCAAATGCGTTAAATGTCCTCAACATCAAAAGTACTGTAGTGAGGTAAATTAATGTCGTATCCTGCTGGTTGAAAATCAACTCTATACTGCCTGTTGGAACTTTGTGTTGAATAAATCTGAGATACAATCATGTGATGCAGTGGCATAGATACTAGACTTATCCTGAGTTCAAGGTCAATTCAATCCTGATGCATCAATGCCCTGTATGTTACATGTAATGACCCACTGTAAGTTAATACTTAACATCTTCTCTTTATAGATACAGGAGTAAAACACTCCTTCTCTCACGTATGTTCCAACATTTAAATAGATCATGCTTAACTCTGTAGCCCAATTTTATCAGATCCAGCAGAAGAGAGTTCAACACTCACACTAACCTTCATTGAAAAATGTATTTCTTGATTTCATTCCTAAATGGTCCAGCTCAAACTTGAAGATGTGTTCCCCTTTTTCTGGATTCCTATTTTCAGGTGGGCACAGATCTAAAGTACAATTTGGCATAAATTAGCATTGTTGCCCATATAAACCTGATGACTATCGATCTTGGAAATGGAAAGTAGTGAGCTGACATCAGAAAACTGCACGATTGTGCAAGAGTGTCAGAACAAAGGGAGCATTACTCTGTGTCCAGTTGTGTACAGCCTAATGTTAGAGAGCTGGTTGATTGCTTTTCTAAGATGATGGATGTCTTTGGAACAATGTGCTGCGTAGTGTGAATACTGGAAATCTGAAATAAAAACAAAACACTGGAAATATCTAGCAGATCTCTTGATCATTGGAGAGATAAATAGAGTTGATGCTTCCGGTCAATATTTTATCGGCACACTTCTGATAAAATGTTATGACTGAATATGCTAATTCTATTTCTCTTTCCATAGATGCTACAAGAAATGCTGAGTTTCTCCAGTATTTTTCTATCATTATTTCAGATCTCCAGTGTAGGCAGATTTCTAGATCCCTCAGACTGACGAGCATTGAATTCATTTTAAAAACTTGTTCTGCTTTAAGTAGTTTCCAGCCTCCACACGCCCACTCAGTTTTGCATTCAACGGGTGATCTTGTGAAACAAGTTCCTGAAGGTCAACAGAACAATAAAAGTACAAGGATGGTTTGCACAAGCTTGCCTTGAATTCCCTTGAACATTGAGGAGTCAGGGAGTGATCTAATTGAGGTTGTTATGATATTAAAAGGATTTGTTATGTGGGATTATGAGCAAGGAATTTAGACCACATAGAAGCAAAATCAGCTTGGAGTTGAGGAAGAGTTTAATTGTAGTCTAATTAATGGAGTAGCCTTGGTGGATTGACATTCTTAACATTCTAACGTTTTTCAATGTTAAATAATGAAGAAAGCTTAGTTCATCTCTCGTGTTTCCATGCTTGGCTTAGTGTGGCAGAGGTTTGTTGCTAATATCAGGTACCTTTTGGGTAAAATTGGTAATTCACTCGTACTAACATTTCCTTTCCTCAGTAAACATTGGAATTCAACAATTTTATTGTTAAAGTGTAACAGTAAAAGTCCTCAGTGAGACTGACAGCAAATTTTATAACCTTAAAACTAATTCTACCTGTGTTGTATATCTATATTTGAGATTTTTAACAACTAATTTAAATGTTTACATGTCCAAAAGAAATAAGTACCAAATGTGCAATAAATATTTGTGATCTTGGTTCACTGTCTGAGAATGTATGTATCCACACACAGACACCAGCTGACTTCCACAATAAAATCAAAATACAGCAGATGCTGGAAATCTGCAACAGAGAAAATGTTAGAGGACCCTCAGCAGATCTGGCACTGTCTGTGGGGAGAGAAATAATGTTTTGAGTCTAGTATGAATCCTCTTCAGAACTATAATCCTATGTTTTAGCTTATTTTACTCACACTTTATGTAAACTCAAGACTTAAAAATTACTATGTGTATTAAAAATAAAAACATGCAAACTTGATTTTGGTTTTGTTATTGTTGCATTTCTTCATGAGGGAATATTGTAGGAGCAGAGGCACAAATCATTGAAGCTGACAGAGCAGATTGAGACAAAGATTAATAAAATGTGTAGTATCCTGGGCTTTATAAACAGAGGCTTAGAGTGCATAAAGATATTAAAATAAACTTATATATGCCACCAGTTTGTCCTCAAATGAAAGACTATACCTGTATGAATGCAATTAATCACCAATATAACCTTGTGTGAGTATAAACCAGGTTAAATTTTAACAAGTCAAACCACTTATCATGATGAATGGTGATAAAAAAATAATCTGTCTTCCTGTCTGACTCAACTCAAACATTCCTGGACCTAAGGCTTGAATATGCTAGCACGTCTCTGAACAAAACTATCAGAGTGTTTGTGATAATATCTGTTCAAACATTGGATGAAGCAGATTTTGTCAGGTGTGTCCAGGAAGGATTTCTGACTCAATATGTAGATAGGCCGACGAGAGGGGAGGCCATATTGGATTTGGTGCTTGGCAACGAACCAGGTCAGGTGTCAGATGTCTCGGTGGGAAAGCATTTCGGTGTCAGTGATCACAACTCCCTGACTTTTACTATAGTCATGGAGAGGAATAGGAGCAGATGGCATGGGAAAGAATTTAGTTGGGAGAGGGGGAATTACAATGCTTTTAGGCAAGAACTATGGAGTACCAAATGGGATCAGATGTTCTCAGGGAAATGCACGATAGAAATGTGAAGATTGTTTAGGGAGCAGTTGCTACAGGTACTGGATAGGTTTGTCCCACTGAGGCAAGGAAGGGATGGTAAGGTGAAGGAACCTTGGGTGACAAGACATGTTGAACACCTAGTCAAGAGGAAGAAGGAAGCTTACTTAAGGTTGAGGAAGCAAGGATCAGACAGGGCTCTAGAGGTCTACAAGGTAACCAGGAAGGAACTGAAGAATGGACTTAGGAGAGCTAGAAGGGGGTATAAGAAAACCTTGGCGGGTAGGATCTAGGAAAACCCCAAGGCTTTCTATACTTATGTGAGGAACAAGAGGATGGCCAGATTGAGGGTAGGGCCAATCAGGGACAGTGGAGGGAACTTGTGTGCAGAGTCAGAGGAGGTAGGGGTATGTACATGAGATAATAGGAACTGCGGATGCTGGAGGATCCGAGACAACAAGGTGCAGGGCTGGATGAACACAGCAGGCCAAGCAGCATCATAGGAGCAGAAAGGCTGACGTTTCGGGCCTAGACCCTTCGTCAGAAAAGGGGGAGGGGAAGGGGGTTCTGAAATAAAGAGGGAGAGAGGGGGAGGCGGATAGAAGATGGATAGAGGAGAGGATAGGTGGAGAGGAAACAAACAGTTCGAAGTATTCTAGGTAGCTGCGGGAGTCGGTGGGCTTGAAATGAATATCGGTTTCTCGGTGGTTGCCCGATATGGAGACAGAGAGGTCCAGGAAGGGGAGAGAGGTATTAGAGATGGTCCAGGTAAACTTAAGGTTGGGGTGGAAGGTGTTGGTGAAGTGGATGAATATTCATTTCAAGCCCACTGACTCCCACAGCTACCTAGAATACTCCTCCTCCCACCCACCTTCCTGCAAAAATGCTATCCCCTATTCCCAATTCCTTCGCCTCCGCCGCATCTGCTCCCAGGATGAGGCATTCCACTCCCGTACATCTCAGTTGTCCTCGTTTTTCAAGGACCGTAACTTCCCCCCCTCAGTGGTCGAGGACGCCCTCAACCGTGTTTCCCACATCTCCCGCAACTCATCCCTCACACCCCGTCCATGCAATAACAACCAAAAAAGAATCTCCCTCGTCCTCACGTACCACCCCACCAACCTCCGGATCCAACGCATCATCCTCCGGCACTTCCACCATCTGCAATCCGACCCCACCACCAAAGACATCTTCCCCTCCCCACCCTTATCTGCTTTCCGGAGGGACCACTCTCTCCGTGACTCCCTTGTCCGCTCCACACTCCCCTCCAGCCCCACCACACCTCGCACTTTTCCCTGCAACCGCAGGAAGTGCTATACCTGCCCCCAGACCTCCTCCCTCACCCCTATCCCAGGCCCCAAGAAGACTTTCCACATCAAGATGTTCACCTGCACATCTGCCAATGTGGTAAACTGCATCCGCTGTACCCGGTGTGGCTTCCTCTACATCGGTGAAACCAAGCGGAGGCTCGGGGACCGCTTTGCAGAACACCTACGCTCGGTTCGCAATAAACAACTGCACCTCCCAGTCGCGAACCATTCCAACTCCCCCTCCCATCCCTCAGACGACATGTCCATCCTGGGCCTCCTGCAGTGCCACAACGATGCCACCCGAAGGTTGCAGGAACAGCAACTCATATTCCGCTTGGGAACCCTGCAGCCCAATGGTATCAATGTGGATTTCACAAGCTTCAAAATCTCCCCTCCCCCGACCGCATCCCAAAACCAGTCCAGCTCGTCCCCGCCTCCCTAACCTGTTCTTCCTCCCACCTATCCCCTCCTCCCACCTCTAGCCGCACCCCCATCTCCTACCGACTAACCTCATCCCGCCCCCTTGACCTGTCCGTCCTCCCTGGACTGACCTATCCCGTTCCTAACTCCCCACCTACACTCACCTTTACTGGCTCCATCCCCGCCTCTTCGACCTGTTTGTTTCCTCTCCACCTATTCTCTCCTCTATCTATCTTCTATCCGCCTCCCACTCTCTCCCTATTTATTTCAGAACCCCCTTCCCCTCCACCATTTCTGATGAAGGGTCTAGGCCCGAAACGTCAGCCTTTCTGCTCCTATGATGCTGCTTGCCTGCTGTGTTCATCCTGCCCTGCACCTTGTTGTCAGGGGTATGTACATGGCTGATTTTGTATAGCCTGTAGCTTTGCTCATTATGGCCGGTGAAACTAGACATCTGAACATGGCAATTCCTTAAAACCACAATGCACCAAGTAAGCAAAGGAATCTCAGATTTTATGCTGTTATCTTAAAATATATAAGCATGAACCTTACACAGTTAAAGGAAAAACTCCTTTTTCAGAACTGCTTCACTATGACCCAGTCGGAATTCATTTGAATCTTGCAGAACAAGTTTAACTTGTTCTTTGTTGTTGCTCATAAAGTCTCCCCAGCTGCCTAAAAGGAAGCACTCATTAATTGACTTGATAATATCCACACCACTCTATCCTTAGCTCAACATAGCCAAAGGTAAGATTGGTATTTTATTGTACTTTCTAATTGTTCTCCATTATCTTTTCATGTGCCTTCATTGCATTAGCATCACTGATGCTTCTAAAAGGAAAATGTACTTAATATAAAATTCTGAAAAAAAACGAGAAAACAAGGTAGAAATAAATTGTTTCCATTGACTGAAGAGTCTGGAGCAAAGACCATAAATGTAAGGTTTAATATAAAAGATAAAGACCAAAGTTGAAAAATGTTCTTTCTTTGTTTAACATGGAGGGCTGAATTTGTAGAATGGACAGGTATGTGATTGAAGCAGAGACCAGGTCAATATTTAAGAATAAGTTCAAAAGTTGGTTGAAGATAAGGGGAATAAAGAAGCCTGAAACAAGGAGGCTCATTGGATCAAGAATACAGCTTTTCAGGACTGGGCTGAACAGTCTGTGCTGTAGTTTCTATGTAATCATAAATAGAAATGGAAAATCCTATATCTGTTTACAAATTTTTTCTTATTTTGGAAACACATTGACCATTTTAAAAATGAAATATCTTCTGTTTTTCCTCAGCTTAGAGATTGTCTGAATCTTTACATTTAATGATTTTGGTTCAATTTTACATAAATGGTCGTGAATGTATATTTATTTCTTGGACAATTAAAATTGTTTGCTTTAATAACCTTGCTGTGCATGTTCAAGTATGTATGTCGTAGCTTACTAGTCACATGAAGTTTCTTTGGGTGGGGGACGTGTTTCAATTCCCATCAAGTTCCTGCTATTGATTTTCCTCTTACTGTTTCATACAAGTGAAAAGTTCTGTCCTATCTTTGATTGTCATTGATTGGATTTCAACAATTCCAGTATTTGTGGTAATAATTTTAAACTGAATCAGTATTGGGAATTGGCATTGGGGTAACAGCTTTAAATGTGTGGTTAAAAATGTGATGTGGAAGACAGAGGTTTCAATTTATGGGACATTAGTGAAGAGAGTATTGCACCACCAAAACCAAAATTTGTAGATATTAACTTAAAATTTGCTGGGTTAGATGACATGAAGTGCAGAAAAAAAACATATGAAACCTGATGATGATCTAATGATTTAAAAAGGTCACTGGTTTCAATCAGTTTCTACGTTTGAAAGAGTATGTGTGTGTTTAATTAAGTGCTGTAACTCAGCAGTAAGGGACTGAACTGTCACAATAACTCTGAAAGGGTGAGATCTTGTTTAAAGGCAGGCACAGTGAATTAGATGTGATAATATGGACTACTTATCTGTTAACAGAGTATTTGATCACTGAATTGTGATGTGCCGATATTATATGGTTGACTGGATGATAGAAAGGTGTCAACAACATCGGCAGGATAAGGCTAAGGTCAAAGTTTGTTAAACCCAAGAGATAAGCCTCTTTCCAGGGAAAGCAAACAAGTCATAATGGTATTGTTGATCAAACCAGCCCTGAGAATCATGATACATTTGTGATATTTGCCTGTGGTCAAACTGATCATTCACTGGAAACTGATTAATGTCAAAATTTGAATGCGCAGCTTGTTTGTATGGAAAAGGGATATAAGATAGCTTGTTTTCGAGCATAATTAGCTAGCTCAGGAGGAGGGCGTGTGATCAGCAACTGAGCACCTCGTCCTTAGGCAAGTCCTCATAAACTGGCTTATTTGTGAATGTAAGAACTGTATGGGCAAGATTTTTTGCAGTATTTTGTAGTGTACATTGCTTTAATAAAGAACATTGGATATGTCCCTTTGTGGGAACTGCCTTCAGTTATTGATATTCCGATATCCCAATGGGCCAGGGAAAGCAGGAATTAAAAAAAGCTACAGATTGTGTCAGAAAAATAGTAAAACATTCAAAAGAAAAAGGTTATAAATGAATGCATGGGGCATTTGTAACAAGATAGATGAATGAATGGCACAAAATGAGGAGGTAACTGGGTTTGAAACACTAGTTGTTACTGAGATCTGGTTGTAGGAACTAAATATTCAAGGGTAAATGTCCATCAGAGAAGATAGACAAAATAGAAAAGTAGGTGGGGCAGCCCTAACAGTAAATGTTGAAATATAGGCAGTGGTGGTAAAAACTCACAAAATTAGCATGTCAAATTGAAAGTATACGGCTAGGAAATAACAAATGACAGAAAGTCTGGCAGGAGAAGTTTACTGGCCTCCACACAGAAGGCATAGCATTGGACAAGGCATAAATCTGCAAATTGGATGAAAATATAAAAAGAATAATGTAATAATTATAGGGGATTTTAATCTTCATATAGATGGGCAGGCCAAAAGTTGTATGAAGGATGATTTATGGAGTACATTTGAGATTCAATCCTGGAACAATATGTTAAAGCAGGCTATTTTAGATCTACTATAGTGTAGTAAGACAGCCTTATATATTATGTCATTTCAATGGCAGCAGTGTGCACCTCATACAAAAATGCACAGCAACAATTATAAGCATCTTCCAAACCCACAATCTCTACCAAGCCAGAAAGAGAAGAGCTTGTGAATTTCGACACTTGCAGATTCTTCGCAGGCAATATATGTGAGTGGGAAAGTCTGTCACCATTCCTCTACTATTGCCACTACAAAATCCTGAAATTCCCCTCCAAACAATATTACGGATGTACTTGCAACAGATGAAATACAACAGTTCAAGAAGGTAGCTCACTGCCACTATCTCAAACACAATCAGGGATGGGAACAAACACTGACCTTGCCAGCAACAACTATAAATATTGTTGGCTTTTACTTAACGCGACAAAAAGCAAAGCAAGCTAACTATTTATTTTTTACTTCATAGAGAAACTGAAGGTTGCTAGTAAATCTACAACCTTTAATTGTTTAAAATGAAAACATCCAAAAGTCTTCTGATCATCATCGTGGTTATTTTCACTCTTCTGATTCTTGCAGTAGTTGCAGCTATTATTTTAGGTGTTCTTCTGACACAAGGTAAGAACCATATTCGCCAGTTAGTTAATAGTTAATGTAGCGGCCAACTGGTAAATTGAAACATATTAGGAATCTCTGAACTAACTTTTTACTATGTTTTAATTCAAATCTGAAATTTAACTTGGTAGACATGTATATATATCAATCAATGGAAAAGTAAAGAGATAAATGAATTAAGAGAGATAATGAGTTTGATGGAAGAACTTATGGTTCCTAACTTGTGCTTCTTTTGTTTTAAAACTGCAGCTTCCACTTCAACTGATAGTTTCTTCAAGGGAAGTTTCAGAATATTAAATATTGCTTACAATGATGCCTTGTCAACTACAAGTTCAGCCGAATTCTCACAATTAGCAAATAAAATTCAGACAGAAGTAAGAGTTCATTTGTTCTCTCGAAACTCATTTTCCTCCAGCTGTCATGTCATTTTGTAATTTAACGATGTCGGTCCATTTACCCTTTAACCACGTTCTTCTCAAATGATTCAGTGATTAGCCTTATTGGTGAAAGTGGTTATATTTTACTTATGATAAGTAAAAGCTGGTCTGAGCATTATTATCAAAGTGCATTATCTTAACACTGTGGATAGAGGTGTGATCTCCATGTCATGACACCAAATAACCATTCCCAAGCACTCATTGCATCAGGTAATGTGACCTGTAGACAGGGGGTCCATTTGCCAGGACATTCTCCTGCAAGGATTTCATCTGCAATATGATATCAAACCTCCTCTGACTGAATATCTCTACTCTCTGCTCAAAGGAAACCTCTTTATAATTTCTTTACACAGCCAAGTCTATAGAAACTACTGTAACCCAATCATTATGTCACCATTATGTGTGCAGCCCAATGACAAAAGATGTCATGTAGCCATCTGCCTGCCCAAGTCGAGTCAAAGTTTCAGAAACTCTGACTTTCAGCAGCCAAACTCGTATCAGATTGTAAACATTCAAATGTCACCCTGACTAAAGCAGGAGAAAAATGGTGGCCTTGAAACTTGTTTTTTTCTTTCCTCTCAGTTCTGCCAGCATCTCAATTTTCTAGTGTTCATGTATCAGGCACCCTCATACGCTGCTAGGTTTCTGTTGGCGTTTTACTTTTTGACCATTTGATTCCTTTCAAAATCTCAGGCGAAAATTTAAAGTTGAATCAGTGAAGGTCTAAAGCACAGATTCCAATCTGGTCACCTCTCCTCATTGTTTTTACCCAGGCCATTTTACAAGCAGAAGTTGAAAAAGAATTGATGTATTATATTGTTATATCACTGGGAGCACAAGGTCGAACTCACAGGGTGCTTAAAATCTCAAGTGAGAGATGGGGCGGCACCATGGCTCAGTGGTTAGAACTGCTGCCTCACAGTACCAGGGACTCAGGTTAATTCCACACTAGGGTGACTGTGCGGAGTTTGCACATTACCCCCATGTCTGTGTGGGTTTCCTCCAGGTGCTCCAGTTTCCTCCCACTCTCCAAAGATGTGTAGGTTAGGTCGATTGGCCATGCTAAATTGTGTCCAGGGATGTGCAGGCTAGGTGGGTTAGCCATGGGAAATGCAGGGTTACAGGGAGACAGTCGGTGGGAGGGTACGGGGCTGTGGGTAGTGGTTGGGATGCCCTTTGGAGGGGCAGTGTGAACTCCATGGGCCAAATGGCCTACTTTCACATTGTAGGGATCCCATGAGTGTGAAGTGACATGCAATAAAATTTTAGAAGTATAGAGCAAGTCATAATATTGATGTTAATTTTCATTAATTAACAAGAAAACCTACTGTAGGTATTTCCCAGGATGCCTATAACCCACAATCATAAGAAGGAGGACTGACTAATAATTAAAGTACAGATAACATTCCCAGCCTGAATCATTCTCACCTGGGGTAATAGATACGTGATCTATTCCTCTTAATTATAGTGAGAATTCTGAAGGTTCTCTTGTCTGATCACTGAGATGATGGGGTTATCTCAATGAGAAAACGTTGGACAGATTCAGCCTATATCTTTTGGTACTTAGAAGAATGAGAGGGGATCTTTTTTGAAACTTTTTAGAATCTGAGGGTACCTGACAGAGTGGATGTTGTGAAGATGTTTCCTTTTGTGGGAGAGGCCAGAAATAGATGTCACATTTTAAAAATTAAGAAATGGAGAATTCTTTTCCCTGAGTGTCATTGGTCTGTGGAGTTATCTTCGCCAAAGCAGCAGCAATCGTCACAAATTATTAAGGCTGAGTTCAATAGATTCTTGATTGAAAAGGGAGGCGAAGTATTTAGATGGTAGGAATGAAAGGGGAATTCAGGCTACAATCAGATCAGCCGTGATCTTAACAACGTGTAGAGCAGACTCAAGAGGTCAAATGGCCAACTCCTGCACCTTATTCATTAGGTGTTACATTGATGAAAGTGTAGCTCTTCTTTGACTCTTGAGTCTCAGGGGAGGAAGATCTTTATTAAATTATGTTCCACAGCTTGACTATCTTCAACAGCCTGTTAGGGCATCTAAGGTTCCTTAATAACATTTTAGAAAAGTTACACATATTAGATTAACTACTTTTACCTTCTATCAGATGGTGCGACATAACACAAACCCAAAGGTGAGGTGGAGTGCTGGTGAGACACGGCGTATGTGGAGAGAGAAACAAAGTTAGTGTTTTGAGCCCAATAACTCTTTTCCAGAACCCGAAGATTCATATCGGATTCAAAATATTAAACTTGCTTTTCTCTGCAGAGATGCTGCTGGACCTGCAGCTTGTTGCCAACACTTCCTGTTTTTATGACCTTCAAAAGTCATTCAACACCAGTGCCATACAAAAGACTTATGAGAAAAGTTGTGGCTTATGGAATAAAAGGGACGGTAGCAACATTAATCCAAATTTGGCAAAGTAATAGGAAACAGAATAATGGTCAATGGATATTCTTAGGCTGGATGAAGGTTAGTAGTGAAGATCACCAGGGGTCAGTGTTGGTACCCTTGCTTTTCTTGACATATTAATCATCTAGATCTTAGTGTGCAGGAGGAAATTTAAAGTTTACAGATGAAACAAAACTTGGAAGCATCTAAATTATGAGAAAGACTGTGTAGATCTCCAAAAGGACATAGACGTGTTTGTGGAGAGGGCAGATGAGTGGCAGATGAAGTTCAAAATGGAGAAGTGAGGGGTGATGTATTTTAGTAGGAAGGACATAGACAGAAAATATAAAATAAGGGGTGCAATTCTAGATATACAAACAAGGGTGCAGGAGCAGAGGGACATGGATGCATTGAAGGTGACAAGGCAGGTGGATCAAATAGTTAATAAAACATATAGTATTCTGAGACTTGTCAACAGGGGCATAGAGTACAAGAGGAAGATGGTTATGCTGAACTCGTACAAAACACTAGTTAGGCCTTAACTGGAAAACTATATCCAGTTCTGGGCAGCAAAATATAAAAAGGATGTGAATGTATGGAAAGAGTGCAAAGGAGGTTTACGAAAATGTTTCCAGAGATGAGAAACATCAGTTATGAAGATTAGAGAGGTTGAGAGTATTCCTGTGGGAAAAAACAGCTAAGAGGAGGTTTGATAGAAGGTTTAAAATCACAGAGGGCCTGAATAGGGAAAAATTGTTCCTGCTCATGAAAGGATTGAGAATGAGAAGGTGCAGATTTAGAGTGATATGCAAAAGTAGCAAATGAGTTGTGAGAAAAATATCTTTTACACCTTGAATCTGTAATGCACAACCTGGAATTGTGGTGGAGGCAGTTTCAATTGAGAAATTGGATGATTATTTGAATTAAAAGCGTCTGCAAAGTGCAGGAAAAAGGCATTAGGTCAGAATGCTCACTTAGACTGCCATTTGCAAACACAATGAGCCACACTCTGGGATTCTGTAATACCCTAAGTTCAATACCCCACCAGGCTATTAGTTTCAATATCAACTATAGTGTGCTTGCTTCTGCACCTAGAAATGTTTCAGCAGGAATTTGGACATGGCACAAGTTTAGTGAAGTCCTCAGTTGAAATAGAATACTACATACAAGTTCATGCCACAAACTTAAATAATTCACATTTATGTATGCTCCTCATTATTCATTTTCTTGTGTATAGATTCTGATGTTCAAGATCATATGTTGATTGATAATTGTGGGTATTTATAGCATGAAACAAAAACTGGGATGATTAATAGGTCGCATGACTTTGCCCATAAATCAAGTCAATTATCACGATGGTGGCACAGTACATTTCATTTCTGAAGAAGGGTCTAGGCCCGAAACGTCAGCCTTCCTGCTCCTCTGATGCTGCTTGGCCTGCTGTGTTCATCCAGCTCTACACCTTGTTATCTCATAAAAAAAACCTTGTTTACTAATGTCCTTTAGGGAGAGAAATCTACTTATGTAACTGTCATCCCTCATTCTCTTCTTTTATTTGTCTCTCTTTCTGTTTTATTATAATCTCTGTCTCTACTTAGGTATTTTTATCTCTGCATAATTTCTCACCCACTTTTTCTGATGAAGGTGAGGTGGACAGAATTGGCTGGAGTTAAGGATAACCACCATTCTAAAGTCAGAATAACTCAAATATAACATTTATTGCAGAAGTATGTTTTTGAATGAGACATATAGCATGAAGTATCTTTAAAATAACAATAAAATGTGACCAAGGGTATCTGAGTTGAATGAATGCAAGATTTGCCGAGTACCTCAACCTCTTGTTAGTATTTCAAACCTGTATAAGGTCACCCCTCAACTCCCTACCCTCCAGGGAAAAAGTCCCAGCCTATCCAGCTCTTCTAATATCTCAAACCTTCTAGGCCCAGTAACATCCTGACAAGTCTTTTCTGAACCCTCACCAATTTATTATTATCCTATAGCAGGGCTCTAAAAGTGGCCTCACCGACACCTTGACACCCTCAACATTACATCCCAACTCCTATACTCACTTGTCTGATTGACATCACAGTAAATTATATCATATTGCTGGCTTTCTTAATTACTTTCTATGATGTTATTTTTCTGTTTTTATGATTGCGGTCTGAAATGGGAAAAGGACAGTTTTAAAACCAAGGATTGTGGAAAAGATCGCTGTACTTTTTAAAAGCAGGTTACTGATACTCATTGTAAATGCTGTTTCTTGTTCATGTTACTGTGAGCAGCTGTGTGCTGTAAACATTTTGGAATAATAAGGCCATACCCTCCTAGTTGACTGAAAACTGTGAAAGTAAACAGCTTCGACCAGCTCTCCAGCACTGTGTCTATTTAGCAAGGAGGACCCAGGGACTAATTCTATTTGTATCAGTTTGAGGTTATTTTCAGAAGTATTATAGAGTGACATAAAGAAAATCAGAAGCATGCTGCAGTTGATGTTCATATAAAAAGGAAGACCTGTTTGTGATTTACGCTATTGTATGAAAAATGTCCATGTTACAGAGGTAGTGGTGCTGGACAGCTTAAAACATATACAGGTGAATAAGTCCCTAAGACCTGATCAGCTGTGCCTTAGAACTCTGTGGGAAGCTAGGGAAGTGATTGCTGGGCCCCTTGCTGAGATGTTTGTATCATTGATAGCCTTAGGTGAGGTGCTGAAAGACTGGAGATTGTCTAACATGGTGACACTATTTAAGTAAGGTGGTAAGGAAAATCCAGGGAACTATAGACTGGTGAGCCTGACATTGGTGTTGGGAAACTTGTTGGAGGGAATCCTGAGGGACAGGATTTATATGTATTTGGAAAGGCAAAGACAGATTAGAGATAGTCAACATGGCTTCATGCATGGGAAATTGTGTCTCACTAACTTGATTGAGATTTTTGAAGAAGCAACAAAAAAGATTAATAAGGGCAGAGTGTTGGATGTAATTTATATGGACTTCAGTAAGGCGTTCAACAAGGATCTTCATGGTAGACTAGTTAGCAAGGTTAGATCACATGGAATACAGGGAGATCTAGCCATTTGGATACAGAGCTAGCTTGAAGGTAGAAGACAGTAGAAAGTGGTGGTGGTGCACGGTTGCTTTTCAGACTGGAGGCCTATGACCAGTGGTATGTCACAAGGATCGGTGCTGAGTCCACTGCTTTTTGTCATTTTATATAAATGACCTGGATGTGAACATAGGAGGCACAGTTTGTAAGTTAGAGGTGTAGTGGACAGCAAGGAATGTTATTTCAGAATACAACAGGATCTTGATTAGATGGGCAATGGACCAAAGAGTGGCAGATGGAGTTTAATTTGGATAAATATGAGGTGCTGCATTTTGGAAAGGCAAATCAGGGCAGGACTTGTACAGTTAATGGTAACGTCCTGGGGAGTGTTGCTCAACAAAGTGACCTTGGAGTGCAGGTTCATAGTTCCTTGAAACTGGAGTCACAGGTAGATAGGATAGTGAAGAAGGTGTTTGGTATGCCAACCTTTATTAGTCAGTGCATTTAACATAGGAATTGGGAGGTCATGTTACAGCTGTAAAGGACATTAGTTGGGCCACTTTTGGAATACTGCATGCAATTCTGGTCTCCTTGCTATAGGAAGGATGTTGTGAAAGTTGAAATGGTTCAGAAAAGATTTATAAAGATGTTGCCAGGGTTGGAGGGTTTGATCTATAGGGAGAGGCTAAATAGGCTGGGGCTATTTTCTCTGGAGCGTCAGAGGCCGAGGGGTGATCTTATAGAGGTTTATAAAATCATGAGGGACATGGATAGAGTAAATAGACAAGGTTGTTTCCCTGTGATGGGGGAGTCTAAAGCTGGAGGGCATAGGTTTAAGGTGAGAGGGGAAAGATTTAAAAGGGACCTAAAGGGCAACTTTTTCATGCAGAGGGTGGTGTGTGTATGGAATGAGTTGCCAGAGGAAGTGATGGAGGCTGGTACAATTACAACACTTGAAAGGCATCTGGATGGGTATATGAATAGGAAGGGTTTAGAGGGATATTGACCAAATGCTAGCAAATAGGACCAGATTTATCTAGGATATCTGGTCAGCATGAATGAGTTGGACCAAAGCATCTGTTTCTGTGCTGCATATCTCTCTGACTCTATGACTCTATTTGAGTGTCAGAAGTCATATTTGCATTCACAAAGTCGCACAGATTATAAAATTACTTTTTGTTCTATTGGTTACAGATTAAAAATGTGTATTCAAATTCAAAGTTGTCTACACAGTTAGACAATGCACAAGTTGTAAATTTCAGGTATGTCCCTTGTATTTTTCCAGCCTAATACTTGTAAAATCAATACAAAGGTGAATCTTTGACAGATTACACAATCTTACTTTTAAAGTGTGATTTGCAATGATGACTTGCTAATCCCAATTCCATAGCTGTGTTGTACGGTAACAAAGGAATAAGTTATTATACTCACTGTGACTCCAAAATCTATTTTTGCACAGAATGCTGGAAGGGAATTATGTTTCTCACAAAGTCTAACAGTAAATAATAAGTTGAAGTAATGACTTGGTTATCTTTAAATAATATGGAATGTCAGAAACACTAGCCTTAGTAGGAGGTAAAAGGCAGGGAAGATAACAACAAAAGCTTGACAAATATGCATTGTTTAGTCCAGCAAATGTTAAAGGAAATTTAATATTAAAAGATCTACTGAGAAACTTTAACTTACTTTGCAGAAAATATACGAAATCAAGTCAAACACTGGTCTGGATCTGTCCTGTTCTATAACCTTACGCTACGTTGACCTTGCCAGAATGTATCTGCTGCTGAAACCTTCGTTCATGCCTTCCTTAGCTCTGGACTTAACTATGCCATTGCATTTCTGGCTGGTCTCCCACATTCTACCCTCCAACTTGAAGGCATCGAAAGTTCTGCTGCCTGTGTATGAACTCACATCAAATTCTCTTTCCCTATCACCCCTGCAATCATTGATCCACACTGGTTCCAGATCGAGTAATGTCTTGATGTTAAAATTCTCACTTTTATTTCGTATTCCTCCTGGACTTGCTCCTCTCTCCGTCTTTCATTTCCACATAAATCTTCAAGATATCTGTGTTCATCCAACTCTGGCCTCTTGAGTATATCCATCATTGATGGCCACACCTTCAGTTGCTGAAGCCCCTAAGCTCAAAAATTCCCTTCCTATATGTCTCTCCTCTCTACATTGTTTTCCTCATTTAAGGCAAGCCTTAAAACCTACCTCTGTTACCAAAATGTTGGTCACCTGACCAAATATCTTCTTATGTTATCTTCTTCTTACAACAGAGAAGCTAACCATCCCTCAATGTCCTGTCACCAATGATCAAGGATGAGTGCAGCCCCCAAAACACTCAGAATGCTTGACACTATCTAGGTCAAAGCAGCCTGCTTGATTGGCACTCCATCCACAATCTTCAACATTCAGTCCCTCCACTGATGCACTGTGGCAGCAGTATATGCCACCTTTAATATGTTCTGCAGCTGCTCACCAAGTCTCCTTCAACAGTATTTGCCAAATCCACCAGCCCTACCACCTAGAAGGGCAAGGGAAACAGCTGCACAGGAACACCACTATCTGGAAGGTCTCCTCCAAGCCACCTGACTTGGAACAAAATCACCATTTCTCCACAGCCACTGGATCAAAATCTTGGAGCTCCATTTCTAAAAGAGCTGTGGTGTTTCTAATCCAGATGGACTGCCACAATTCAGAAAAGTGGCTCACCCTATATTCATGGGTCTAATAAGTGCTGGCCTTGCCAGAAATGTTCACATCCCATCAAAGGTTAGTAAACAGAAGTTACAGATGTAAGCCAATTAACAGAAAAACCAGAGGCAAGAATCAGGAGTGTTATGTTATGGGGGGAGTTGTTATGATCTGGAATGCACTATTAGCACTGCTGTCTCAAAGCTCCAGGGAGCCAAGTTCCATTCCATGGTCGAGCAACTGAGTTTGCATGTTCTCCCCATGTTTGTGTGGGTTTCCTCCAGGTGCTCTGGTTTCCTCCCACAGTCCAAAGATGTGCAGGTTAGGTGGATTAGTCATGGGAAATACAGGGTAACAGGGATATGGTAGGGGATGGGTCTGAATGGGATGCTCTCCAGAAGGTTGTTGTTGACTCGATGGGCCAAATGGCCTGCCTCCACACTTTAGGGATTCTATGATTCTATGATCTGATAAGATGGTGCAAGTAAATTTAATGATAAATTTGAAAAGTGATTTGGATATATCCTTCAAGGACAAATATTTGTGAAGGAAGTATAGAGTAATGGGATTCATTGGATAGCACAAATCAGTATGATGGGCTGAATGGCTGTCAATATTGTAACTTCCTGTGACCGTGAGATAGAAATTAGTCCAGCACCATTCATTAAAATTAGTCTATTCCCTCCTTATCCTTCAAATGAGAGCTGCTAACGCTTGTTTCACATTTATAGTCAGTGTGCGCATTCCAAACATTGAAATTAAGGAGGAAGCTACTGAAGTTTGAGTGGACTAAGAATGGAAGGAGGCAACTGTGATGATTATAGAATAGGCAGGGCTCCTCCCAGCTGCATGAAGAGGTTTTTCTTGGAATTTCTTTTCAGGAACCAAATGGCGTGAACAGGACAGCATCAATGTCTATTCCCATGTGTGTCTCAGACTCAACAGATAAACCCAGTAATGTTCCCTGCTTATGTTAACTTTCTAAATGGAAATTTGGATTCATATCAGTCTGTGAAGATACACACAGTTTCTGGCCACATTTCTGCAAGGAACATTACAATATTTGAAAATAAATAACCCAATATAAGCAATGCTTAACTAATTATGAAACTTACTTGCAGCAGGATGTTTTTTGTTAAAAAAAAATTACTAAATGTCAAATGGACGAAAAATTGTTTATTTCGCTTAAACTGAACAAAGCATTGAATTCAATTATCCCTTTCCTTTTTATTTTGACAGGCCAGGCAGTGTTTTAGTAACACTTTTACTACAGTTCAAGGGAAATGGAAACACCGCTTTAACAGCAGGGACAGTCAAAAATATATTTCAGCAAAACCTGACACGAGTCAATGCGTCCAGTCAATCTGGCTACTCGAATGACTTCAGCATAGATTTAACATCCATTCAGTTCATTGGTATGTTTTCTGGAGTTAATAATGCTTATACTAACAGATAAAGTGGATATTCCGTGTTACATTAACATGATACACTAAATATCGACATGATAGGTAGCAGCAGTTCATTTTTTTTTCACATCAGTCTTCACAAAGAAGGGGGGGATTCTGTGTGTAGGGATTCTACGATTCTACCAGTAATTTGTGAATTTGAAAGTTCAATCTTTGAATGCTAATTAGTGGGTAAGTGGTCATAACCAGTGGGTGAGGTGGGTATGGGGGTAGATGTGATAGGTGAGAGGGTAATGGGTTGAAATGTGAGATGGGTGGTTGAAGGTGCATTCTGGAGAGGCAAACAGGTTGGGGAAGTAGGTGGGTATTCAGAGAGAGGAGACAGGAGGTTCAGGAGGCTGATTGCGTTGCCAGTTGTACAGTTTCCCAGGTGATGGGCTATGTTTTAACTTGTCTAACATGTTAAATTCTAACTCAGAGTCAGAGACATTCACAGAGAGTCCTGGGGAAGCAAGATTGCCCATTGAAAATTAAAACTTCCTGGGAAATTTCTATACAGGTCCATGAATAGGACTATCACAGTGTCAGGAAGCACATCTTTAGTTGTACGTCTGATCTCTGACAATACAGTGGCAGAAGATATGGGCTGTTAAGTTTAAGAATTAAGTTCCATTTCTGCCTTCAATGAACATATATCAACAGAAAAACCTCCAGCGTACTTGAAGGCAAATTAATCTATTCTTTTTCTGCAAAGGAAAACTAATTGTGTTCAATTCCTGACATTATCCAATAAACTGAAATGGAACCTGTTTCGATACTTTAGGAATTTAGGCAGAAATTTTCATTGAAATTAAAATTGTGATTGTCATGACTACAGAACAAAACCCTTAAAGGAAACATACGTTAAATGAAGCTTCTCATTCAATAAGTATTCACTTTAACCCTTCAGAAAAAAATAATTTCATGCACTTTGAACCTTGACCAGCAGCAAAGCGTGACTCAATGATGTTGGCTATCAAAGGAAACTTATTCTATCAAAAACATGGTCAGCCTTCCCATGATCTCTAATTACAGATATTTTGTAAAAGGCAATGTCATAACATGGAAGGATCAATATTTTGATGGCCCTAACTGTAACCTTTTTGACTTTACCTCCCTTCTTTTAAGATGTCATTACTTTCTGATGCGAGGCAACAAAATAGCTATGACAAAGACATGGACACACACACACACACACACACACACATGCGCACACACACAAAGACACACGCGCACACACACACACACAGACACAGACACTCTTTCTCTTTCTCTCTGTGTGTTTTGTAGTGTCTCCAACTTAGGATTTAGTAAGTTCACAGTACAAATGGCTCTACAAGCCTGTGATGAGCTGCCTAAAATTCCTGAAGTACCAAAACAGGTTCTATTCCAGTTTAGTGGATAATTTCAGGAATTGAACACTGTAATACAAACAGTTTTGCTTTGCAGAAAAAAATTTGAATAATTTGCCTTCTAGTATGCTGGAACATCTTTCCGTTGATATATGTTTATAGAAGGCAGAAATGGAACTTTACTCTTAAAAGTAACAGCCCACATCTTCTGCCACTGGACTGTCAGAGATCAGATGTACAATGAAAGATGTGCTTCCTGACACTGTGATAGTCCTACTCATGGACCTGTATAGAAATTTCCCAGGAAGTTTTCTTGTAATCTTGCTTCCCCAGGAGCCTCTGTGAATGTCTCTGACTCTGAGTTAGAATTTGACATGTTAGACAAGTTAAAACATAGCCCATCACCTGGGTAACTGTACAACTGAGAATCCAATCAGCCTCCTGTCTCCTCTTTCTGAATACCCAACTACTTCCCTAAACTGATTACCACTCCAGAATGCACCTTCAACCACCCATCTAACACCTCAACCCTCTACCCTCTCACTTATCACATCTACCCCAATACCCACCGGTTATAACCACTTACCCACTAATTAGCATTCAAAGATTGAACCTTCAAATTCACAAATTGCTGGTAGAATCATAGAATTCCTACAGGGCAGATAGAGGCCATTCAACCCATTGAGTTTGCACCATCCCTCAGAAGATCATCCCATCTTATCCCTCTGACCCCTCGTTTACCACAGTTAACCCACCTAGCCTGCACTGTACAGGGCAATTTAGCACAGCCAATCCACCTAACCAGCACAACTCAGAGGAAACTGGAGCACTGCAGACACGGGAAGAATGTGCAAGCTCCACACAGAGAGTCATCCAAGGCTGGAATTGAACCTGGGACCCTGATGCTGTGAAGCAGCAGTGCTAACCACTGTACCACTGTGCCACTATGCCACCATGCCACCCCTAAGTATCCTGGCAGTACCATAAAAAGGGAGTCTCTACTCCTTTCTGATGGAAGTCCCCAGCTAATGCCGCACTGCACATTTCTTTGAGAGCCAGCATTGGAATATCCTAGAAGAAATGTACAGCAGGGAGCGCAGTCGACTCATCATTGCTACCGCTCAGAAGATACAAGCCAACGTTTCACAGCATAAGAGAAAGCTGTGCTGGAAATAGAAATTATTTGAAGGTGTTTACAGTTAGCCTCTGTTTGCAGAGCAACTGTGAACAACTGCCATTTAAAAACTCACTGAGAAGAGAAAATCTCAATTTGAACATCTTTAATTGAGGGTAAAAACTGGAAAGTAAGGAAAATAGGTCAGGTGGATAACGTTAAGACAGTGAGGTAAAGTGGATAACTTAAGGACTAAGGGAGGCTTGAAGAAAGCCAGAGAAAAAGCAAGCGCATGCCAAAAGGGGCCGAATAAGCTATGGTGACAGCTGGCAAATGAATCACTCAGTTCCTATCCAAAAAAAACCTAATCTCAGCCTGTTTGATACTTTTCTTCATAAGTTACTTTCTTGACACCTAATAATAAATTGATTTCCTACGTTACAGAATCTTGAATATTTGTATGTTTCTATTTTCTGATGACCAGTAACGGTAAACATGGTAATGTAGACAACATCAAGTCAGTGCCTGCTGGAGTTTTTATAGGATATTTCCACCATTAAGCAGATCTGTCAACAACTTCTCAAAACAATCAATTTGCCTGAGTCAATTACGATCATCTTTTCCTTTTTTATTCATTTCAGAAATATGTCAGGCAGCTGCAAAAGTTATTTTCACCAGTGGTAAGCCATATATTTTGATTACTTCAATTTCAATTAATCTACATTCACTTGTTTCCAAATAAAATTCATAATTGTCAACCTCTATTCTTGAAATGCCTCTTCAGGTTTTGTGTTACTCCCTTCCAGTCAGATTAAACTCTGAGCTCCTAGGGACCAGATTTTGATGTTCCAATGGTGGGAAAGTTGAAACATTTGTTGCTATCATGTGCCAAAAATGCTCTGTAATTTCTGGAGGTCACATGTCTGCTGAAAACCAATCAATGGATTGTATGTCGATGTTGCTACTCCTTTGGGCACAGCCTCAAAATAAGAGGGAGGATTGAGTTGAGGAAGAACTTCTTCACCAAAAGGGTTGTGAATCTGTGGAATTCTCTGTCCAGTGAAGCAGTTGAGGCTACCTCGTTGAATGGTTTTAAAGCAAAGATAGATAGATTTTTGAACAGTAAAGGAATTAAGGGTTATGGTGAGTGGGCAGGTAAGTGGAGCCGAGTCCATGAAAAGAACAGCCATGCTCTTATTGAATGATGGAGCAGGCTTGCCATGCCAGATGGCCTACTCCTGCTCCTATTTCTTATGTTCGGAAGTGACCGAAGCCCATTTTTTCACCAATTTGGGCTGATTGACATTCGGTTACGATGATTTCCTTGCAGAATTATTTAGAGCTGACTCCATAAGTGCAGGGACTTGACAGTACAATTCACATCTCCGTCTTTCTGGAAGGCTGTTAGGAGGGTTACTGACTGCATGACAAAACATTCCTACATTATCAAAACTATATCAGGGAGGTGATGGCCTAGTGGTATTATCACTGGACTGTTAATCCAGAGACCCAGATAACATCCTGGGGACTAGGGTTCAAATCCTGCCGTGGCAGATGGTGGAATTTGAATTCAATAAATATGTGGAATCCAAAAGATGATGATGATTCCATTGCTGATTGTTGGAAAAACCCATCTGGTTCATGAATGCCCTTTAGGGAAGGAAACAGCCATCCTTACCTGGTCTGGCCTACATGTGAATGTGGTTGACTCTTAACTGCCCTGAGGGCAGTTAGGGTTGGGCAATAAATGCTGCCTAGCCAGTGATGACCTCATCCCATGAATGAAAAAGGAAAAAAAAAATCAATTTTAAATTTCAAAGTTGCAGTGTGTTGTGGTTTCTCAGCATTCAAATAATTGCAACTAATACTGGAAGTTATGGAAATTTAGCCTGCTCCAATTTAGAACTGGTTAGGAATTTACCAGGCTCTCAGTATTAACAGACAGTGTAATTTTCAAATCATTTTGCTGTTGTTGATAATAATATCACTTAGACTTTCTTATGAAGAAGGCATTGTCTTATTTTGACTATTTATGTTCCAGTCATTTTTGTTTGTAAGCTAGCACTTATTTCCCATCCCTGATTACCCCCTGCACCGAATGGCTAACTCAGCCATTTCAAGGCACGGTTAAGAGCCACCAACATTGCTGTGGAGCTGGAGTCACAGATAGGCCATTCAAGTAAGGATAGCAGATTTCCTTCACAAAAGTACATGTATGAACTAGCTGCATTTTTAAGACAATTGATAGTAGCCATTTTTATGATAGTTTTTTTAATTCCAGATTTTTTTGAATTACGATACCACCTCTCCTATTGCTATGATTGGTTAAAAGTTTTATACGATATCTGTTCAAATTTGATTATTTCACCTGTGAACTTATCACAGTAGTATTGATTGTGAGATCAAAGATAGACAACAACAGTTCTGTTAAATGAATAAGAGAAAGAGAGAAGGGTACGTGAACATAGGTCCCGGAGAGAGTGAAAACTGAAAGAACGACGGATGCTGTAAATCAGAAACAAAAACAGAAGTTGCTGGAAAAGCTCAACAAGTCTGTCAGCATCTGTGAAAACAAATCAGAAATAACCTTTTGTGTCCTCACTGGACCTGAAAAGTTAACCCTGACAGAATGAGTCTGTGCATATAATATTGGAGAATCAGGAAATGGCAAATAATTTGCATCAGTCAGTAAAAGACACTAACAACATTTTTAAATTATAAATAATCAAGAAGCAAAAAGGGGTGAGGAAGTAAATACAATAACTATTACTGGAAAAAATGTGTTAGATCTGTTCATGGGAAAATCTTTGTTCTATTTGTTTTAGTTTCTACAACAGAAACCATCACATCAAATTCAAGTACCACGGTTGCCACAGACACTCCTACCACATTTAGCTCAACTGAGATGACTACAAGTAAGATATTTCTTTCTGACTTATGATATTTCAGCTAGCTGTGGGTGAGAAGAAGGAACCAGAATTTGGATGAAAAAATATTTATGAAACACATCACAGCTAATGAATTTCTATGGAAGTATAATCATTGTCTTGATCATAGAATCAAGATCCTGATTGTGAGGAAGCAGGCCATTGGGCCAAAAGGCATCCCACCCACACCCACACCCAAACCTATTCTTCAACCCCTTCAGATCCAATGGCTACTCCACCTAGCCTGGACACTATAAGCGATTTAGCATCGCCAATGCACCTTAACTGAACATTTTTGGGCTGTGGGAGGAAACCAGAGCACCGGACGGAAACCCACGCAGACACAGGAAGAATGCGCAAAATCCATACAGACAGTGTGGAATCAAACCTGGGTCCCTTAAACTGTGAGGCATCAGTGCTAATCACTGAGTCAACAAGATCCCCCAAGATACTATGCCCCACCAAATGATGTTGTGATCACTACCCCTAGAGAATCATTAACTGCAAGTTTTCTTATTATTTCTACCTCATTACTAAATTGGAAATAGCCTGTTTCCTGGTAGGTTGTGCAAAATACCACTCTCAGAAACAATCCCTGTTGCTCTCTAGAAATTCATCTTTCTTGTCATCCCTCATCCATCTGATTTGTCCAGTCAATACGTGAATTAAAAATCACCCGTGAAAATTTTAGTTGTTCTTCTTATACACCTCCATTATTTCCTGATTTATACCATGTCCTACAGTAAGGCAACGCTTTGGGAGCCTATAGTTGACACCAGCCAGTGACTTCTGTCCTTTGCTAGTCCTTACTTCCACACAATCTAATTCCACCTCATGATCTATTGCACCTATGTCACTACTCACCACCACACTGAAACCTTATTTTAGTATAAAAACTAGTTCAGCTCCTTTGCCTTTTTGCCTATGTTTTCTGAGAACTTCAAATATCCTTAAATACCGAGTTCCCAGCCGTATTCACCCTGTAACTATCAAGTCATATTTGTTTATTTCTATTGTGCCTTCAACTCATCTATCTTGCTACAAATGCTGTGTGTGGTCAGGCAAGCTGACTATCTCTGGTTCTAATTTCTGCTGCACTCAACTGCTTATATTTACTGCTCCTGCTTATCACACTTTGACAATCATTCACCACTTTACTGTGCTACCCCCTGTTCTCACATTTCTTTTTAACTTTTAAACTTTGCTTCAATTTAAACCACGCAACCCACTAATTATTTTAAAGCACTATCCACATCCCGAGTGATATGACTGACTTGGAAGTCATTTGTGAACCAAACGCATTTTTATGACAACTGATAGTCGCCATAATTAGGCTAGTTCTTTTAATTCCAGATTTTATTGAATTACTACACCACTTCTCTTGCTGTGATTGGTTAAGAGTTTTATACTATAACTGTTCAAATTTGATTGTTTCAACTGAAAACTTATCACAATAGTATTGATTGTGATATCAAAGATAGATAGCAAGAGTTTTGTTAAAATGAATAAGAAAGACAGAAGGGCAAATTGAACATACGTTCCAAAGAGAAAGAAAACTGGAAGAACTGCAAACAGAAGTTGCTGGAAAAGCGCAGCAGGTCTGGCATTATCTGTGAAGAGAAATCAGAGTTAACCTTTCAAGTCTGTTGAACCTTCCTCAGAACTGAGGACCTGAAAAGTTAACCCTGAGAGAATGAGTCTGTGCACATAATATTGGAGAACCAGGAAACGGCAAATACTTTGCATCAGTCTAAAAGACACTAATAATATTCCTAAAATTAAAAATAACCAAGAGACAAAGAGGATTGAGGAGGTAAATACAATAACTATTACTGGAGAAAATGTGTTAGATCTGTTCATGGAAAAATCTTTGTTCTGTTTGCTTGTTTAGTTCCTACAACAGAAACCATCGCATCAAATCTAAGTACCACAGTTGCCACAGACATTTCTACCACACTTAGCTCAACTGAGACCACTACAAGTGAGATATTTCGTTCTACCTTATGATATTTCAGTAAGGCTAGCTGTTAGAGAGAAAAAGGAACTAGTATTTAGATGAAAAAATATTTATGAAAAACATCGCAACTAATGAATTTCTATGAAAGTATAATCATTGTCTTGCAGGAAATTGCTGCAGCCAAATTTCACAAGACCCTCAGTGTGTTAACAACTAGTTAAGCTGATACGTTATGATAGACAAGGGATGGGTGATTATCACAACAAGATGCATTCTCATGACAATTGATACTAGCCTTTAATAGGGTAGTTTCTTTTAAATTCCAGATTTTATTAAATTACTGAATTCAAATTACATTATCAATATGGGGGAAATTGAGCCCATATCTCCAGAACATTAACCCGGGTTTCCTGAATTACTAGTCAAGTGACATTATCACTACACCACCACATCTCCCATTATGATTGGTTAAGAGTTCTGTTCTATATCATTCACACTTGATTGTTTTTAAGTCAACTGTGCCCTTATCACAATAGTAATGGTTGTAAGAAAATTATAACTAAATAATGATCATAGAATCATAATCCCTCTCGTGTGCATGCAGACCATTTGGCCAATCGAGTCCACACTGACCCTCCAAAGCACATCCCACCCAAACCCACCCAAACACACCCCCTACCCTATTCTTGAAACCCAGCATTTCCCATGGCAACTCCACGTAGCCTGGGCATTCCCTGGACACTATAGGCAATTTAGCATGGCCAGTCCACCTAACCTGAACATTTTTGGACTGTGGGAGGAAACCAGAGCATCTGCCAGAAACGCAAGCAGACATGGGGAGAATGTGCAAAATCCACACAGACGATGTGGAATTGAACCTGGGTCCCTTTTACTGTGAGGCATCAGTGCTAATCACTGAGCCAACATGCTGCCCCAAGCTACTGTGCCCCACCAAATGATATTGTGATCACTACCCCTAGAGAATCATTAATGCAAGTTTTCTTATTAATTCTACCTCATTACTAAATTGGAAATAGCCTGTTTCCTGGTAGGTTGTGCAAAATATCATTCTCAGAAACAATCCCTGTTGCTCTCTAGAAATTCATCTTTCTTGTCATCCCTTGTCCATCTGATTTGTCCAGTCAATATGTAAATAAAATCACCCGTGAAAATTTTAGTTGTTCTTCTTATACACCTCCATTATTTCCTGATTTATACCATGTCCTACAGTAAGGCAACGCTTTGGGAGCCTATAGTTGACACCAGCCAGTGACTTCTTTCCTTTGCTAGTCCTTACTTCCACACAATCTAATTCCACCTCATGATCTATTGCACCTATGTCTCTACTCACCAGCACACTGATAACTTCTTTTAGTATAAAAACTACTCCACCACCTTGGCCTTTTTGCCTATTTTTTTCTAAGAACTTCAAATATTCTTAAATACCGAGTTCCCAGCCTTTTTCACCCTGTAACTATCAAGTCACATTTGTTTATTTCCATTGTGCCTTCAACGCATCCAGCTTGCTACAAGTACTGTGTGCGGTCAGGCAACTTTGAATTTTTATCATCATGAATATCTCTGGTTCTAATTTCTGCTGCACTCGACAGTCTATATTTACTGCTCCTGCCTATCACACTTTGATAATCATTCACTACTTTACAATGCTACACCTCTGTTCTCTCATTTCTTATTGACTTTTTATACTTTCCTGCAATTTGAACCACGCACACCACTAATTATTTTAAAGCCCTATCCCTAGTCACATGACTCACCAGGAAGTCAATGCCACAATCGGGATGCTGATTGCAAATGCCTTGCGTTGAACATTGGAGCAGATATCCGCACGCGCAACCACACAGCTCGACACTGTCCAGGACTAAGCAGCCTATTTGATTGGTATGCTATCAAAACAGTCACTCACTCCATCTCCAAATCACTGTAGCAGCAGTGTGAACCCAGCCATAAGATCCACTGCAGAAATATACCAATGCTCCTCAGACAATACTTTCCAAATCAATAACCACCACTATTTAAAAGACAACAATGACTGATACATGGGAACACCATCATCCACAAGTTCCCCTCCAAGTCTCAAAGCATCCTGTGTGGAACTATATTGCCTTCCTTCACTGTCCCTAGGTCAAAATCTTGGAACTCTCTCCTTAAGAGCATTGTGCATGTATGCATACCAAATGAACTGCAATGGTTCAAGACAGCAGTTCATCACCATTTTCTCAAGTGCAATTGGCAACAGGCAATAAATGCTGGCTCAGTCAGCAAAGTTCATATCCCCTGAATCCCCTATGTATAGTAAATTTTTAGGCATCTCTAATCAAATGCCTTTTGGAAATCTAAGTACATAACTACAGGTTTCCTTCTCCCCGCCTTGCTTGTTACTTCCTCAAAAAAAAAGCTACAAAGCCATTTAACATGATTTCCCTTTCACAAAGTCATGTCAGCTCTACTTCTCCACATTATGATTTTCTAAGTATTTTCCATGGCCTTCTTTACAATGAAATTTCTCTGTGATAGATGTTAAACTGATTGACTTATGGTTTCTTGTTGAATAAAAATGTTACATTAGATATTTTCCAATCTGCTATGACCTTTCAATATGTGTGGAGTTTTGGAAGAATTTATCCAATGCATCTACTATCTCAGCAGCCACAAAGAGGCTCAGCCATCAGGTCCTGAGAAATTTTTAACATATAGGTCCAATAATTTTCCCAGCAGCTTTTCCCTGATGATGATGATTGTTTAAAATTCCACCCTTCTGTTCACTTCTTGATTTTCAAGTAGCCTTAAGAGGTTTTCTAGTCCTCCTACAGTGAAGAGACACCAAATATCTATTCAATGCCTCCCTAATTTCTTTGTTTTCCATTACCAGTTTCCCAGTCTCATTCTTAAAAGCACCAACACTAGTTAAATTATACTATTCCTATGGAAATAATTGTAAAAACACAGATTTTGTTTTACATTACTAGCTAACTTTCTCTCCTACGCTCCATGAATAATAGAGGAAGAAAATAAACTTTGCAGGTAAACTTACAAGCCTCATAATTTCCACTCTATCCATGCCATTTACAATTTTATAAACACCTATTAAGTCACCCCGTCAACCTCCTGCGATCCAGTGAAATCAAACCCAGTCTATCCAACCTTTCTTCACAGCCAAAACCCCCCATACCAGGCAACATCCTGATAAATCTTTTCTGTACCGTCTCCAAAGCAACCAAATCCTTCTGGTAGTGTGGTCACCAGAACTGTATGCAATAATCCGAGTGTGGCCTAACAAAAGTTCTGTAAAGCTGCAGCATAATTTGTCTATCCTTATACTCAATGCCTCTTCCAATGAAGGCAAGCATGCCATAAGCCTTTTTCACTACCTTATCTACCTGCACTGCAGATCCCTCTGTATATCAATACTCCTAAGGGTTCTGCATCACCTCACATTTGTCCAGATTAAACTCCATCTGCCATGTTTCAGCCCATGCCTCCAATTGATCTATATCCTGCTGTATCCTCTGACAATCCTCCTCACTGTCCGCAGCTCCACCAATCTTTGTATCGTCTGCAAACGTACTAATTAGACCAACTTTGTTTTCCTCTAAATCATTTATGTAGATCACGAATAGCAGAGGTCCCAGCACTGACCCCTGTAGAACACCACTAGTCATGGCCCTCCATTCCGAAAAGTATCCTTCCACCGCTAACCTCTGTCTCCTATGATTAAGCCAGTTCTGTAACTATCTTGCCAGCTCACCCCGATACCATGTGACTTCACCAGTCTGCCATGAGGGACCTTGTCAAAGGCTTTACTGAAGTCCATGTAGACAATATCAACCAGTTTTCCCTTATCAATCATCTTCGTTACCTCCTCAAAAAACTCAAACAACTTAATGAGGCATGTCCTCCCCCGTATTAAACTATGCCATCTATCGCTAATAAGTCCATTTGATTCAAATTCATATAGGTTTTGTCCCTGAGAATCTTTTCCAATAATTTCCCTACCACTGACATGAGACTCACAGACCTGTAATTTCCAGGATTATCCCTACTATCCTTCTTAAACAATGGAACAACAATTGGCTATTCTCCAATCCTTTGGGACCTCATCTATGGCCAAAGAGGATATGAAGATGTCTGTCAATGCTCCAGAAATTTGTTCTCTTGCCTCCCTCAATATTCTGGGATAGATCCCATCAGGACCCAGGGAGTCATCTACCTTAATACTTTTTAAGGTGGACAACACAGCTTCTTTTTTAATAGCAACTTGGCTTAGAAACTCGACACTCCCTTCTCTGAGATCATCTTCTACCAATTCCTTCTCTTTGGTGAATACCAACACAAAGTATTTGTTCAGGACCTCACCTGCCTTTTCTGGCTCCACACATAGATTCCCTCCTTTGTCCTTGAGTAGGCCAACCTTTTCCCTGGTTACCCTCTTGCTTTTTATGTGTGTATAAAAAGCCTTTAGATTTTCCTTAATTCTGTTTGCTAATGACTTTTCATGACCCCTCTTAGCCCTTCTAATTCCTTGTTTAAGTTCTTTGATAGACAGGGAATTGTTCATTTTTCTTTCTTTTCGAATTACTGATTTGAATCAATGAATCAGACTCTAAACATTTTTGTATGTTACACAGCTTGTGGCTCCAGACCTGCTTTTTCCAGTAGGATTGTTGGTGGGACAAACTCAGTAAATGGTGAATGGCCTTGGCAAGTTAGTCTCCAAATCAAATCACACATCTGTGGCGCCTCCATCATCTCTGACAGATGGCTCATCTCTGCAGCTCACTGTTTTCATGAGTAAGCGCATTATTGATTTTTCATTTGTACAGTTTAATAGGAGACATGACAACTTTAGTTAGCTTTGCTGATTGAACTTTGCATTTCAAATAATATTTTTACGAAGATCTGCATGAAAGCCCACAGATTAAGCCTTCAGATTTGGGCTTTGAAGGTGAAAAGGGAGAATCAACAAGAAATTGACGCAAGGATTGTAAGTGGTGGGTCCTTTTCAGAGGAGTCACGATGGAGTGAGAGAAATGGGGTTATCCAGGAACTGCAAGGACTGGTTTAAGGATGCTTACTCTTTGAAATTGAAGTTAACTCCTTGGATTCAGAAACTCAATGCACGCTGGCCTTATTTAATTAACAGTGCTATATTCTGAAAGGTGATTGAGTCATCAGAGGTTGCTTAGCTATTAGAAATTGAATTACACAAAATGTATGAATGAATAGAGCAATGTTCAATTAAATTGAATCTTAATGCACAATGGAATGCACAGCATATGTATTCCATGCAAGATATTGATGAAGTTCACAATGAATTAAAAAATAACATAAATGGCTTTAGTAGACTCAGGGTTAAACTGTCCAAAATTTAAGACTGATGTCAGGAAGTCCTAGTTCTCAAAAAGGATTTATTAACAAATGGGACAAGGCTTCAAGTAGGGTAATGGAAGTGAATTGCTCAAGAACCTGGAGGACTATCGGATACTTCTTGATAGTTGAATTAAGGGGCCACACTGCCTTCCTCACTTCTCTGTATCCTAGATAACCTTGTAATCTAGAAGCAAGAAATAATTCCATGGAGTGGAATTTTCTTAATCATTCCTTTTTCAAAACCCATTCATCGAATTGTCTGATTTGCTATCTTATTAGCAGATTGATGAGTATGAAGCAAAACTGAGAGGAACTGACATGATAGGAGGGTGGTCATTCTCATTGCCCTGCTAGCTTCAAAGCAAAGGCATTGACATCAAGCAGCACAGTATCATAGAATCCCCACAGTGTGGAAATAGGCCATTTAGCCCAACAAGTCCACACCGACCCTCTGAAGAGCAACCCACCCAGACCCATCCCCCCACCCTATCCCTCTAACCCTGCATTTCCCATGGCTAATGCACCTAACCTACACATCCCTGAACACTATGGGGAATTTGGTAAGGCCAATCCACCTAACATGCACATGTTTAGACTGTGGGAGGAAACTGAGCATTCAGCAGAAACCTACGCAGACACAGGGAGAATGTGCAAACTCTGCACAAACAGTCGCCCAAGGTTGGAAGCAAACACAGGTCCCTGGCGCTGTGAGACAGCAGTGCTAACCACTGAGCCATGATTAACCATGCTTATGGCCTCATGCATTGGTCATGTCATGCAGCATTTAATATCAACTGTAACGCACAAGTTAAGTTCATGACTTTGCGTACAATCCCATAAATTGTGATGCAAGAATAAAGTTTTACTTGGCGGTCATATATACAAAACGGAACTACAACAAACTTGGAAAGGAAGCATTGTTGAGCTGTGAAGAAAGAGCAGGGGAGTGAAGCTAATTTCAAAGCACCAACAGTGGTGTAATGGACCAAATGACATTCTTCTGGTCTGTAAATTTGTATGTAGTTTTATGAGTCAATCTTCCAAATGATATGCATTATTATCGTTCCATCGAGTCCATATGATGTAGAAGGAGATGTGAGCAACTGGGATTCATACTGTACATTGATGTACCAGCCAGTAGAACATGACTTTGTACAATAGTGTAAGATGGGCAGTAGCAAGCTGGAGTTACTTCTTTCTCATTTTGTACTTTTGTTGATAATGAGATGAAAAACCAGCTATTAGTTCACATTTAGTCTCTTTTTGAAACACCTCATTTTTGGTTAAAAAATACAGCAGATTTTCATTTTAAGACATTGTTGTCTCAAGCATGAATTGCTTCAGTACGAGTTTCAGATCTAAAAATCTTAGCAAAACAAGGTGAACTAACAAACTGAAAATTAAAAATGCTGGAGATCACAACGGGTCAGGCAGCATCCATGAAGAGAGAGCAATCAGAACTTTGATGAACAGTCACCTAGATTCAAAACATTACCTTGCCCTCTCTCCATGGATGCTGCCTGACCCGCTGTGATCTCCAGCACTTTTGTTTTCAGTTCAGATTCCAGCATCTAATAATTTGCTCCTGAAGTAATATAAAGTTGTGAATGCTGATGGAGGTTAATTTAATGCTTGTCATGACATGATTGTTCATTTATTGCCCCTGTTTATTTAAAGTTCAACAAACAACCCATCAATATGGAGAGCATTGATCGGAACAAATGATGTAGAAAGCGGTACTGTCCGAACTATTGAAACAATTATCGTCCATCCACAGCACCGACAAACCACAAATGACTATGACATTGCAGTGCTGAAACTTTCATCCCCTCTGAACTTTGCAGCTAACATTCAGCCAATTTGTCTTCCATCGAGTGACCACGTCTTCCATGCTGGGGACAGCTGCATAATCACAGGATGGGGCACTCTTTCATTTGAAGGTTAGTTCACAAAAGTTTGATTTATTGTAAAGTTATAGAGTGTAACTAAAGCTGCAGTAGATGAATATATAAAAACTGAAAGAACTGCGGATGCTGTAAACAGAAACAAAAACAAAGTTGCTGGAAAAGCCCAGCAGGTCTGGCAGCATCTGTGAAGGAAAAAACAGAGTTAACGTTTCGGGTCCGGTGACCCTTCCTCAGAACTAGATAAATATATGTTGGCTTAGTGCCTGTTTCATGCTCTGAATGTGCAAAATACAACGATGCATTACTTTGATGTGCTATTTCTTCATACTGAGTGAAGACATAAGGTAAAATTATTATCAAATGATGCATATTAAGAGAAGTTCAAACTCAAAAGTATCCAAATTAGAACCATCAGTGTTGATTTACTAAATGACAAAATCAGACCTGATTTAGGCTATATTCAGAGAGATACTAATTATGTAACCTCATTAATGGTGATTAAACTTTTACACTTTTTATTTACAAGTCTGAAAATTAATGCATTTTTCTCAAGAAAAGAAAAGAAAATTTTCAAACAATGGTACTATCTTAGCAGTATAAATCAGCCTCCAACCCAGTGATTACACAACGCATGGGTATTCAATTTAAGGATGGTTCTGTTCATGGCTGGGTATTTTTAATCAATCTATTCATGAATGTTATGACACACCTCTGGGGCAAGTGGGACTTGAACCTAGCCTTTCTTGCCCCAGAGATAAAGATCCTATCACTGTGCCTCAAGACACCTTGACTCACTTGATAAACTCATCTAAGTCATTAATAAAATTGGCTTAGATATTTTCAGAGAAAGAAAAATTTAAGTAATTAAATTATTCAGCTTAAATGTTAGCTCTTGATAACAAAACGGATCTGCATCAAATTGTTTTGCCTGCTAGTAAACAGATCATCCTTTGTCTTTTTTTGTCAGGTTTCAGGTGTCACCACCAGCAAAAACATCTTCCCATGCTCTCCCCTTTCAGCATTCTAAAAAGGACCCTTGGGTCCACTTCTCATTCATGACTAACACTCACTCCTTCCCCTTTCCTAAGGCAATCTCCTATGCAAGCATGAGAGGTGTAACATCTGACTTTCATCTCCTTCCTTCTTACCATTTAAGGCCACAAACACTCCTTCCAAGTGAAACAGTGAATTAGTCATACTTATTTCATTTTGTATGTTGCATTTGCTCTCAAATTAAAATTTCTTCAGTTTTTCCAATTTCCTCAACAAGTTTGTTAATGGACAATAACCGTATTGGAATCTGGGATAAATCTCCTGCAGTCTCTATACATTTGACAAAGAAGAGTCATTTTCATCATGTTTTAGTGACAGGGAATTTCATAGTGCCTTGAACTTCAGCATCTCTAGACCACACTCAATCTTGGCCCACAACTGATTCCAAATGGGATGATTTGGTTCTGACAAACTGACCTTTTGCAAAATTTATCGCCAAATCAGTTATATGTGATCAATCAAATAGTGCACTTGTGCGTGTTCCTGTAGAATATCAATATTAACAGCACAGTTGAGTAAGCACAAAGGTGGCTGGTGCAATCATCTTTCATCAGTTTACAGTCTGTAGAATCCATACAGTGTGGAAACAGGCCATTCGGTCCAACAAGTCCACACCTACCCTCTGCAGAGCATCCCTCCCAGATCATTCCCCTATCCTTTCCCTGTAACCCTATATTTCCCCATGGCTAATGCACTACACATCCCTGAACACTATGGGCAATTTAGCATGGCCAAACCAACTCGCCTCCACATCTTTAGACTGTGGGAGGAAACCGGAGCACCCAGTGGAAACCTACGCAGACACGGGGAGAACATGCAAACTCCACACATACAGTTGCCAGAGGGTGGAATTGAACCAGGCCCCTGGCGCTGAGAGGTAGCAGTGCTAACCATTGAGACACTGTGCCGCCCTGATTATGATGACATATGCCACCTAGAATTAGGAAAGCAGAGACTTATTTGGCTTGTTCTGTTAGTGGAACTTATCAATAACCATTGAGCAATATGATCCTGTTAAAATTTTCTGAATTTTTGACTCTGTCAATGGGAGCGGATGTTACTGGTAACTGAAGAGTGAAATAAGATGTCTCAGAAGGAATATCCCCTTCAGTCTGCTGAAATGAGACAGCTGCAAAAAGGTTGTTTGGTGGTGGCATCATGGTGAAGCTGGTGAAAATGGTGGACAATTATACATTGAGTATGGAGGCTAATAGGGTGGAAGATGAGGACAAGGGGGACCCTATCATGATTCTGGGAGGGAGGTGAAGGAGTGAGGGTAGAGGAGCAAGAAATTGATTGGATTCCATCCAAATGTTGGGACACATTCTGCTTTACCTTGCATCCATTCTTGCCTGGACAAAGCCAAATGATGTGTTTTATATTATGGTGTGATCTGCCTAGCACTCATTGAACTGACAAAGTTCTGTCAAGGAAACAGACAAAGTGCCGATTAATGCTGAAATTTTAATTTAGACTGTCTGATTAGAACCTTGGGGAATGCTTGTTAACATTTCAAAATATGTAATAATTTCCTTAAAGTTTGACCTTTGGCTGACCTGGCAGATACAAGGCTGTTGCAATTAGGGAATAGCAACATCAGTTCCATTTTCAAGTTGTGTAAAAGTTTATCAGTCAGCATTGTTTAGTGTCTCAGTTCCTATTACCAGCAATAAATTAGACCATAAATAGCATCCATTCCAAAGATGATATTAGCTCCATGTCATTCATTCAGGTAAACTCAGAAGAGCCAATGGAACTATTTCAAAGAACAGCAGGGTATTCCTCCTCTTACTGATCTGCCAATATTTACTGCTCAACCTGCAAAACTTAATTCTTAAGAAGTGGTTTGTTAATTTATCTAACTGCTGCTTGTGGGAGTTGCTGTGCGTGAATTGGATGTTGAATGTCCTACATTACAGCAGTTAGTATACTTCAACATACTTTATTGGCTGTAAAGGACAAAAGGCACAATATAAATGCAAATTCTTAGTGTTAATTGTAGGTGTCTTCTCCAAAGAATGGGGGATTTCAAGACTAGGGGTCACATTTTTAAGGGTGGAGGAGAGAGATTTATAAAAGACATGAGGGGCAAAATTTTTACACAGAGGGTGGTTCGCGTGTGGAATGAACTTCCTGAGGAAGTGGTGGATGTGGGCACAGTTACAATGTTTAAAAGATATTTGGATAAGTCCATGAGGAGGAAAGGTTTGGAGGGATATGGGCCAGGAGCAGGCAGGTGGGACTAGTTTAGTTTGGGATTATGGTCGGAACGGACTGGTTGGACTGAAGGGTCTGTTTCTGTGCTGTATGACTCTATGCAGCACCTTTTAAGGAAATCTTCAGAACATGAAACACAGGGCAAAATTCTTATTTCCTTTCTCCAGGCTCACTGCCACAAATCCTTCAAAAAGCAAATGTGGACATCATCGCTGACAGCACATGCAGGAGAATCTATCGAATTACTGAAAGAATGCTGTGTGCTGGCTTCTTAACAGGAGGAGTCGATTCCTGTGAGGTAACTTTTAACCCAATATTTTAAAATATTGAGCAAAAAAAATCATACAGGATCAGTAGGTGTATAAATGGGGCAGAGAGTATAGAAGTGAGGATGGTATCCTAAACCTGGGTAAGTCACTGGTAAAACTCAACTAAACCATTATGTTCAATTTTATGGGGAAGAATTGAGACACATGCACAGGATGAAAGGTGGCTTCTGCACCTACACCTCTCGACAGTGTGACCTGTTTGGCAATTTTACCACAAGAACCTCCAAACTGGCGGCCTGTTACCGTCCCTTTAAGGTTAGTGGACTGGATCCTCATGTTGTCAGTGCAATAACTAGGCAAAAAAATGTGATCTGGGGACCAAGTGTTAGAGGGGAAACCCCTCCAAGTAGATTAGTGGGACCAGGAGGCTGTCTTCACTGCCTACGGTCCCTCTTTCCCACAGTTAACCTTCCCCCACCTTCTTGCTAAAGCTGCCTCTGGGGGGAGCCTACATTTAGCTGGGGGATGGGAGTGGAGGGTATTATTGCTTTTGTCAATGGAACAATGAAGGAGCTCCTGCTTGGACTTTAATTATGGAAAATATCTGCCTACCTCTCATAGCATCTGGCCTTTCCACTTCTGTTTGTGCTGTCTGTAAAATACCTCAGTGGTAGGATTGTATCAAGGAGCCAGTCCCGCATTCTACCCCGCAATTTCACTGGAGCCAGTAAAACCCTGACCTAACTAGGAACACAGCAGGAAGGACGTCAAGGCCTTGGAGAGCTAATACAGGAGATTTCCTAGAATGGTACCACAAAGCAGGAGTTCAGTTATGTGGTGGTACTGGATCTTCTCCTTAGAACAGAAAAGTTTAAAGACATATTTATTTAATGGCAGCAATCAACATATAGATGGTTTTGTTAGAGTAAGGACAAGACTAGGTATCAAATTTTCCTGAATACAAAGCATCCAGGAAAGTATGGAAAGGGAGACAGGAGGATTATTGACAAAGAGAACATTGCAGTGATGATGAAAGAGAATGTTGCTGAGGAAAAATGATGTTCCTGAATGGATGAAGGCATTTGGCTAGAGCAAATGAACAAAAGAAAATGATACAACTACATTGCTTGGTGCAGCTTATAGGTCACAAATCAGTGGTACGGATGTAGAAAAATAAGTTTGCAATGGAATTACAGACATGAGCAAGATTAAAAGGATCGTTATAATAGAGAACATTAATTATCCAAATATAAACTGGATAGTAGCTGCATAAAGCCAGAGAGGAACAATAGTTCTAAGAGTGCTTTCGGCAACGTTTGTACAGCAGTATGTTTCCAGTCCAATGAGAAAGGAGGACCAGCTACACCTGGTTCACAGGAATGAGGTAGGCCACATAAGTCAAGCATCAGTAGGGGAATGTTATTTCGACCATGAACGTGTCCAAAGAAAAAACAAATCCAGAGTCCTTGGATGACAAAAGAGAAAGAAATGAAGGCGAAGAAGAAATGGTGTGCTCACAACAGATGTCAGGTGGAAAATGCAATCAAGAACCAGGCTCAAAGGAGGATTCGAAAGTAAATTAAGAAGCATAAAGGAAGTATGAGGACAGGCAGGCAACCAACAGAAATGAGAATCCAAACATTTTCCACCTACATGCACTGGAGTCCATGGGTTGTGAACGGGTTCCATTCAGGAGTCTGTTTGCAAGTCGATTTTATTCAAGTTGGAACACAGTGCAGGACAATATAAAGGAGCTATTTGTAAGTCTAGGAAATATCCATATGTCAGGTCTGTAAAATTACATCCCTCTATGGCATCGTGTTTGTAAGCACAAAGGTGTGTAAGTCAGAAATCCATAAATCGAGGACTCCCTGTAAATAGTGGAAGTTGGGAAATGGAGGAGTGGCAATAATTAGGAACCAAAAAGGGATTGTATGCATGAAGGTGAGATAATGGCTGATGCATTGAATGATACTTACACTAGGCAAGATGAAACAGGAGGCTGTTCAGGCTCTTGCAGGGTTTAAAACTGATAAGGAGGAAGTGTGGGTACGCGATCTGTACCTAAAGTTTGAAGAAGCCAGAACTGGATGAGATGCACAGGATGAGAAGGATAACAAAAGAAGAGAAAGTAAAATTTACAGAGGCAGTTTCCAGTCCTTCTTAAACTCAATGGTGGTAACAGAGGACTGGAGAATTACAAATGTTCACCATTTGCTCAAAATAATTTATAAAATTAAGCCTAGAAACTAAAGGGCTGTCAATTTGCTCTGCAGTGGGAGGGATGCTTCTAGAATTTATAATTTGACAAATTAATAGTCACTTGGGCAAATACAACCTAACTATAGAAGTACAGTATAGATTTGTTAAAGGCAAATCATGTTTCCCTAATTACTTGAGATTTTTTGAGCTGACAGGTTGATGAGCATTGTTATATTATGGCACAGACTCAAGACCAGATGGTTACAGTCATACAGAATGGATATTCTGTCAGTTGTTCTGGGTGTGTGCTAAGATGGGGCTAGAGTTTGATGAGAGGACAACCATACAGGTGAGGATGTACGTAATGTGAAGAGTTTGGTAAGATACGGTGAGAGATCGCACTGGGCCTCACGGCACAAACCCCTCTGAAAAGCTCAAAGCGATTGACACTTAGCCAAAAGATCATTAGAAATAAGATATGGAATAGGCTATTCAACCTTCAAGCCTGGTCCACTATTCAGTAGGATTATGGCTGATCTGGTATTCCTTACGTCCTCTTTCCATCTAACCCTTGATTCTCCTACTGATCGAGAATCTATCTATTTTACCTTTAAATATACACAAGAGCTGTACCCCTACAGCTCTCTGTGGTAGGGAGTTCCAAAGACTCACAACCCTCTGAAAAAGAAATTCCTCCTCATCTCAAACTTAAAATGGCTCCCCTTAAATCTCAAACCATGCCCTCTGCCAATAATCAAACACAATTTTGATTCTGCTTTGTTTTTATCCCAGGGTGACTCCGGAGGTCCATTAGCCTGTATGCAACCTGATGGAATTTGGCTTCTTGCTGGAATTGTGAGCTTTGGTTTTGAATGCGCCAGACCTAACTTCCCAGGAGTCTATGCTCGGGTAACAGCTCTGCGAGACTGGGTGCAGGAGCAGACTGGAGTGTAAAGAAATGGTCCAATTTGTACTGTTCCTGAACTAATGATCATTCTCCACTCACAGATTATGACTTGATTCCGATTGACTACTTATTATAATGCAGTGTGGTCCCGCTGCCGCATTTTCAGAAAACAATGTGACTTTACTTTTTAAACCTGTGTTTTCAACTTTGGATGGGATTTTACCAGCCACGTGGAATGGACTGAGAGGAATAGGGGAGCAGGGAAAGTTCTGAGGAGTTGTATCAGGAGGGCTTCCCAACATAATCCACAGTCAGGGAAAATTCCCAGTGGCAGGACCACTGGATTGTGTGCGGATGGCCAATTTAAAAATGTACAGGAGTGATTAAGGCACATTCCAGGAAGTGCAGCCCTCATGCACACAAAGGGTCACTGTAAAGGGGAAACTTGAGGTCTTTATGAAGTCATCCTCCATGCAACATCCCAGAGAATCATCAGAGCTGGAGGTTGGGGTGTTTTGGTTACATACAGCGAATATGTCTGCCCAGCTCCAAACAACCATCCAGCAGACCCTGCCTATTAATCTCATCAGAATTTTAAATTAAACCTCTCCAAGGCCTCACAATCTCTTGAGATGCCTCAATGGTGCCCACTTTACCTAGTGAGCTCAGATTTAGCCAGAAGCAACGAGAAGCTGCCCTTATTTGTGACATGTCTGGGGGAGTAAAATAGGAGGACCCCCCCCATCCCATTCTGACAGCAGGGTTGGGGGTTTAGAGGTGGGATCCAAAAGCCCATGGCGAAATCCTGCCTGTTACATTTGAGTTTAAAATCCTGGGCACTTTATTTTTGTGGACATTGCTGAATTAGAGAATGAGGTCACTTTTAAAATGAGCTCTAAATCAGTGAGTGACATCTGAGAGTAACAATTCTCAGCCCTTGTGATTAGTTTGTGTTCATCTTGTGCACTCCCAAACTCCTTTGCCACACAGTTAGTGGCTGAGCCTTCAGGTGCCTGGGGCACTAACTATGGAACTCCCTCCCCGAAAGAAAGATGTTCAGAACATTTAAATGCAATTAATCGCCCTCAATCTTTGCACAAGAGTATAACATCATTATGCTGTGGCGTTTGTACTCCCCCACCAGTGGAGTTGAGTACAGGAAGAGGGTAGGGGCATGTTAAATCCAGAGAGTGATCTCTCCCTGCCTACCCATCCACCATGATTTTTATCAGTGGCAGATTTGGTATTGGATTCCCTGCTGTCCAACAGTGGGTCATCTGAGGACTTTCACTGGGGAACCAATAACCACTCAATTGCTTCATCCTGCCACCATTGGGCTTGAACCAGCAGCTTTCCCTGCGTAAGGTCTCATGGTGTGCATGAAGGAGGTCCCTCCTTAACTTGCACCCAGGGGTCCATCAAACGGAGTAAACATGCCATCACTCTGCCCACATCCCTCAGCTCCCCATCACTCCGTGATGTCCTTCCAAATGCTGGCTGAGAAAGCTTAGATCCATTGCCCAATTGCAGTAACAGCAGTGTCCACAATGGTTCTGCAAATTCATGAGATCTTCTGACTTCTGACTGACCAGCAGCTCAAGGCAGAAATCTCACCTTCCAACCTTAACAGTCAATCAACTGCTAATTCACTGTGAGATGTCTGTGCTTCCCCAAGACCACATACTCATTTAATTCTACATGCCACTGTCTAATCCAATTCATTCTGCTCCCAATGTCTTGTGGACTAACCTTCATTACTTCGTCCTGTTGCATTCCCTGTACTTTTTAAATATAAAGTCAAAGTGAACAAAAACAGTAATTGCTGACAAAACACATCACATCTGGTAACATATGTAGGAAGGAAGCAGAGTTAGTGTTTTGAGTCCAGTGACCCTTCGTCAGAATTACTTTGAATCTCAGGGAAACCTGCACACTATTTCTGTGTAGTTATTTTACCACTGATCTCAATGGTATGCAAAATTGCAAGAAAAATCATACTAACTATTAACAAAAGGATACAGTGCAAATAAGTGTATCAACTAATTGTTACTGCCATTCCTGATGGTGTTAATAAGTTGAATTAACTTTGTTGTAAAGAAGGAATAAATTTTCAGGAATAAAGTGAATAAAGCATAAATGTGCCATATCATCTGGTATGTGTCAAGTATTGTCAGTTGAATAATAATCACATAGTTATTGAGGATAATGTAGTACTGTGGCTATTCTTTCCATTTTACACAGAGTAGAATATTCCTGTCCTGATGTGGCATGAGCAATGGTGAGAAATTTGAGAAAATTCTGAGAGAAAAAAAATTATCAGGATCTCAATGTTGAGAAAAGGTTTCGCAACTCGCCCCCAAACCCTAAGTGCTGACTTCAGAATCTCACAATTGAGTGATGACTCGCTTATTTCCATACATTTCATAGTGTCAAAAAGCATAGAAACAGGCCCTTCAGCCTACCATGTCTAGGCTGACCAACAAATACCAAACTACATTAATTCCATTTACTTGGTACTTGGTCCGTGGCCTTACCATGCCCTGGCATTTTAAGTACTCGTCCAGATACTTCTTTGCATCTCATTAATGCCCCGTCTAAGATTTATACGTCACTTCCAACTCTCCTTTCTTTCCCTGGAGAACTAGATGGTGCCAATTCCCGACATGTAAATCCGAGTGGGGTACCTGTTGACTGGAGCTTGCAGCCATCAACCAAATGTTTCTTCACAACAATATCCCTGCATGCTCCATGGCCCCCATCCTCCTCTACCTCTTGCCTACACTATTTAGCATCAGTAAACCACCAGCCTCACCGCACCACCTGCTCATGGATCAACTCACACTCCACGTCAGCCCTTCAACACTTTACTTTGAATCTCAGGGGAACCTACAACTTGTATGCTCGTGCCTGAACATTTTGTGAGCAGGGACATACATGCATCCCATACATCTGCACAGCTGCATCTTACAGCTCTGACCTTGTTTTCTTAGTGCTTACTCGGAGGCTGCCAGGCTCTGTCCACTTCACGTTGCTTTCTCAGCACACTCTCACTGACTTCAGCACTGCATTACAGGCTGCCAACCTCTGTATGGGCCACACTTTTTTATCACACAGGATCTTTAATGCTCAGTTACAGGCAGACAACCTCTATTGCTTCGAGACATAGAGTCATACAGCACAGAAACAGACCCATTGTTGCATTGTTTTTAGCGGACAGGGAAATGTGGGAGGCTTGTTATGGTGAGGTGCACTGAAAAATGAAGGGGGTAACATGTCGATGGTGTGTGGCACTCTGTTAAGTCAATGTCACGCACAGAAAGTGTCAGCGGCTTATGTGGCAAACTCATTGCTTGTGCTTCCAACAAATGGCTCTCTGTGAAAGTCAAAGGGGAGAAACAGCACTTTAAAAAGGAGGAAGAGAGACAAAGGTAGTGACCACATGGGAAGTGTATCAAATGGAGCAGTAAACTTGCAAAGCTGTCTGACCCAGCAGTAACCTGCAGAGCTAACCGTCTGTGCTGTTTGATTTCAAGTATCATTGAATATCAGAGTTCATCTAAGAAAAATAAGCAAACAGCAAAATTAACAGCTAACCTTGGAGAAACCTGTATGGGGGAGTTCCCAACAGGGGAGCAGATAAGTCGCTAGATTTTAAGTGTAACCTTACTTTTTTCATTTTTTTGTAAATCTACAATAGTGAGTAAAGTGGGCTCTTTTTTGATTATATGTTTTTTATTAAGATCTGTCTCTTGATTAAGTTTTAAAAATATAAAAACATAGGTGCTGAGTTAGCCTGGAGCAATGTTTTTAGACCAGTAAGTTTGTGCTATTTTCTGGGTCTGTAGATTGTTAAGGTGCATAGATGGCCTTTAGTAGAATAATGTGCTCTTCCTGTCGGATGTGGGAGATTTGGGAGAGTTTCCATGTTACTGATGATTATTTCTGCAGAAAGTGTGCTTGGTTGCAAATCCTATCGGATCTCATGGATCGGTTGGAGCAGCAGATAGACACAATGAGGAATTTACAGAAGCTAGGGAGTGTGATGGATGGCAGTTGCAGTGAGGGAGATGAACCAAAAGATACAGCCAGGTAGATGGGTTACTTCCGGGAAAGGTAGGAGAGGGAGGCAGGTCATGTAGGAGTCTCCTGTGGATATCCCCATCTCAAATAAGTATGTTGTTTTGGAAAATGTAGGGGGTGATGGACTCAAGGACTCACAAGGGGATGTAGCACTGACAGCCAGGTTCCTGGTACAGAGACTGGCTCTAACATAATGATGGATACGTCAGGTTCCAAGCAATCAATTGCGATAGGGCACTCTCTAGTCAGAGGCACAGACAGACTTTCCTGGGGCCAACAGCAAGACATCAGAATGGTGTGCTGCCTCCCTGGTGCCAGTATCAAAGATATCTCGGAGAGGGTGCAAAATATACTCAAAAGGGAGAAGGACCAGCAGGAGGTCATTGTACACATTGTAACTAATGCCATAGGCTGAGAAAATGATGAGATTCTGAGGAGCGGACATAGGAATTTAGGCAAGAATTTAGAAAGGAGGTCCGCAAGGGTAGTTATATCTGGATTACTCCCAGTGCCACAAGCTAGTGGGGATAGGAATAGGGCAGATGAATGTGTGGCTGAGAAACTGGTGCAGGGGAAAATCATTCATATTGTTAGATCATTGGAATCTCTTTTGGGGTAGAAGTGACCTGTATAAGACGGATGGATTACACCTGAATTGGAAGGGGACTAATATACTGCTGGAGAGATTTGCTAGAGTTGCTCAGGAGGATTTAAACTAGTAAGGTGGGAGGGGTGTACCCAGGGATAGAGTGAGTAAAGACAGCAGTCTGAGACTGGTGCAGTTGGGAAAAGGGGCAAGTCAAATAGTCAGGGCAGGCAGGAACAAAGCAGAGAATGAGGTAGGACTAATAAATTAAACTGCATTTACTTTAATGCAAGAGGCCTGACGGATAAGGCAGATGAAATCAGGGTATGGTTGGGAACATGGGACAGGGCTATCGTAGCAATTACAGAGACATGGCTCAAGGATGGACAGTACTGGCAGCTGAATGTTCTAGGATATAGATGCTATTGGAAGGATTGAAAGGGGGACAAGATAGGAGGGGGAGTTTTTGATTAGGGATAACACTATGGCTGTACTTAGAGAGGATATTCCTGGGAATAAATCCAGGGGAGTTATTTGGGTGGAATGGAGAATCAAGAAAGGGACGCTCACTTTATTGGGATTGTGCTATTGACTCCCCCAGTAGAGGGAAATTGAGAAACAAACTTGTAAGGAAATTTCAGTTATCTGTAGGAATAATAGGGTGGTTACGGTAGGGGATTTCAAAACATAGGCTGGGACTGCCATGGTGTTAAGGGCTTGGATGGAGAGGAATTTAAGTGTGTACAAAAGAATTTTCTGATTCAGTATTTGGATGTAACTACTAGAGAAGGTGCAAAACCTGACCTACTCTTGGGAAAACAAGGTGTAGAGCTGGATGAACACAGCAGGACAAGCAGCATCAGAGGAGCAGGAAGGCTGACGTTTCGGGCCTAGACCCTTCTTCAGAAAACCCTTCTGAAGAAAGGTCTAGGCCCGAAACGTCAGCCTTCCTGCTCCTCTGATGCTGCTTGTCCTGCTGTGTTCATCCAGCTCTACACCTTGTTATCTCAGATTCTCCAGCATCTGCAGTTCCTACTACTCTTGGGAAAAAAAGACAAGGCAGTGACTGAGATTTCAGTGGGGGAGCACTTTGGGGCCAGCGACCATAATTCTGTTAGCTTTAAAATAGTGATGGAAAAGGAAAGGCGGGATCTAAACGTTGAAGTTCTAAATTGGAGGAAGGCCAATTTTAACGGTATTAGGCAAGAGTTTTCAAAAGTTGATTGGGGGTGGATGTTCACAGGTAAAGGGACAGCTGGAAAATGGGAAGCCTTCAAAAATGAGATAACAAGAGTCCAGAGACAGTATGTTGGTGTTAGGGCAAAGGGTAAGGCTGGTAGGTGCAGGGAATGCTGGATGATGAGAGAAATTGAGGTTTTGGTCAACAATAAGAAGGAAGCATATGCAGAGATTGAGTGAATCCCTGCAAGAGTATAAAGGCAGTAGAAGTATACTTAAGAGGGAAATCAAGAGGGCAAAAATGGGACATGAGAACTTTGGCAAATAGGGTTAAGGAGAATCCAAATGTGTAGTGGACAGTGAAGAATGTTAACTAAGAGTCCAATGGCATTGTGATCAGATGGGCCAATGGGCTGAGGGGTGGCAAATGAAGTTTAATTTAGATAAATGTGAGGTGCTGCATTTTGGAAAGGCAAATAAGGGCAGAACTTCCATGCTTAATAGTAAGGCCCTGGGGAGTGTTGCTGAACAAAGGGATCTTGAAGTGCAGGATCATAGTTCCTTGAAACTGGAGTCACAGGTAGATAGGATAGTGAAGAAGGCGTTTGGTATGCTTGCCTTAATTGGTCTGTGCATTGAGTATAGGAATTGGGAGGTCATGTTGCGGCTGTACAGGACATTGGTTAGGCCACTTTTGGAATATTGTATTCAGTTCTAATCTCTGCTATAGGAAGGATGTTGTGAAACTTGAAAGGGTGCAGAAAAGATTTACAAGGATGTTGCCAAGGTTGGAGGGTTTGAGCTATAGGGAGAGGCTGAATACGTTGGGGCTATTTTCCCAGGAGCATCGGAGGCTGAGGGGTGGACCTTATAGAGGTTTATAAAATCACAAGGGGCATGGATAGGGCAAATAGCCAAGGGGTGGGAGAGTCCAAAACTAGAGGGCATAGGTTTAAGGTGAGAGAGAAAAATTTAAAAGGGACCTAAGGGGCAACTTTTTCACGCAGAGTGTCATGCATGAATGCAATGAGCTGCTGGAGGAAGTGATGGAGGCTGGTAGAATAACATTTAGAAGTCATCTGGGTGGGTATATGAGTAGGAGTGTTTACAGGGAAACGGACCAAATGCTGGCAAATGTGACTAGATTTATTTAGGATAGCTGGTCGGCATGAATAAATTGGACTGAAGTGTCTGTTTCCATGGTGTACACTTCTATGACTCTAAGTGCTGAGTCGGGTGTAAAGGGACTACAGTTATTCAGGGGATGCTGCCACAGTCAATCAATAGGTTTA